ATGGTATTTCAAGGTGAGCTTATTGCAACATGGGCACATGTTCGGTATTTTATGGCACGTTCTAAACAAGATGTCAGTCACCATGTGTGTATCATTTGACCAGTAGATATTTGTGGGCAGTTGGAAGCCCTCCATTTTTCATGGCTAATGTGCTGTCACTAAAATGAGCATCGTGCAGGTTTTTAGTTCTGTGGTCAATGCATCCACGTTTCTCTGAAAACTTTCTACAAAACAAGGGTTTGAGTTTTTCCGGCATACCAGGGTCCCATATATCTTGTATCGGCTTTCTTTTCAATTTCGTGTAAAGTGTTAGTCACAAACAGTGGCACTGTTTCTTTCAGGGTTACTTGGCTCAAGTTCTTCATCACAGTTACGGGTTCAGAGTTATTGGCTTGGACTGCGAGCCTTCCCACTTGGAGAAGGCCAACAACCGCTTGAAACTTTGTAAGTATACGTAAAAGCTCATGGCTACCCATTTGCTATGATGTGCTCAATTTTAAAATGTAATGTATTCATCTAAAAAAAATATTGAGCTTCCTAGGAAGGTTTTCTTTGAAGGATTTTGGAATTCTATCTTTAGCGTCCCTCTAAAATCATGCTTGGCATTTCTCCTCTAGCTGGCTGCAGCAAGAACATTCACTACCACACTCTGAAGATTGACGACAGTATGCAGTCAGTTGCCAGTGTTGGATCACTTCTGAAGAGTTGTCCCCCACACGTGGAGTGCAGCTGCGGACCGCAAGAGACAATGCACAGGAAGTTCAACGGTGCTCACATGTTCCTCTGAATTGCTGTGCTTTAGAAGGTGGTTCTTTTTTTGTGCATATTTTGGACCAGTACAAAGTGAAAAGAGAAGCTGTTGCAGTGGCAACGACATATCTTGACAGCAGTCTCGAATGACGGCTCATGGTTTGTAGGCACTCTATCACAAACTGTTTGGTGTAACACCGTCAGGTGCACAGTACACAAACATATACGATAGTCACCCAGTCTAAATATGAATTGTTTATTTTTGGGTTTATTTTGTTCAGTGAATTGTGTAGTAATTTGGGGCAGGCATCCGTCTCACCAGATGCTATTTTGTCTAATGTCGTTTGAGAAGCATCAATTTCTTCTTGGTGAGGAGAGATTTCTAAGCCACTGTTTTGTAGACAGTCTATGCAGTCCCTCTCGGGAGGTGGCACTACTGTACCAACAAGCGATAATAATAATCCCTTTCGCTGTGGTTAGACCGGTTACCTGAAAAGCCAATTTCCCTAAAAGTCTAGCATAGGGTATCTCCAAGCAACATTTATGCATATGCAATGAGCGGGTATGCCGACTTGTTTCCAGAGGGCCAGTTTGTCATGGTGGCACTTCATGCCTGTGGAAGATTGACACCCACCATGGTGTATCACTTCTGCCACCTGGAGCAGATCTGCGCCGTCGTCTGCATCGGCTGCTGCTATCACAAAGGTTGGCCCGTCCCTACTAGCTCCCTGTCGAATATTCCAACCTTGTCAACAAGTGTACTGTCTCGCATGTGCAAATAGGTGGGCAACATAGTTGGTTCTTGAACGCTTGATGACTACATGGAGTGTCAGCTGCGATTTTCTTCCTGATTTGGCAGAGTTTGGAAGTGCTGTATCAGTCCGTGCTCAAGGCCTTTAAGTTTCCCTAAACTTCAAAATGAACCAAATAACCACTGTTGTAGATTTGCAGGTAGCGAGGCGTTCGCCCCATTTGGTGGCCAAACCTGCCTCCACATGAACAGTGGTGCTTCTAAAAGTGTATTCTAAGATTGTCTTGTCATAGCAATAACTGTATATACAGGGTGTTTCACGAAAGTAGGACAAATTCTATACTGCAAAAACTACACGTCGTAAGAAAAAAGGCTTGTGTCGTTTGTGTCCTGGGCCAGGGGCCTATGTAGGAAAATTAGTAAAGTCCGGCATAATTAGGTTGTTAATTATTTTTGCGTAAATAACTTTTTTAATATTGCGTTTAAGGGCATGGTTTCAATTGACAGCGCAGAAGAGGTTGGTTGCACTATTTCTCCGTGGGGCGCGGTGTCGCCGGGGCCGAGATGCGCTCCAATAGCAAACCCAAACTTGAAAACCCGTCGAATTTGTGCGGTTTGTCAGAAAATCGAAAAATGCTCCGCGTGCCATTTTATCGTGCAATTTGCCGATTTAAGTGTTTTTTGATGATGCTGAGCAATTTTCTAATTGAAACCATGCCCTTATACCCAATATTAAAAAAGTTAATTATGCAAAAATAATTAATAATCTAATTATCTTAGACTTTAATAATTTTCCTAAATAGGCCCTTGGCCCAGGACCAAAATGACACAAGCCTTTTTTTTCTTGCGACACATGGTTTTCTCAATATCGAATTTGTCCACCTTTCGTGAAACACCCTGTATATGCCACAAGCATTCTAAAAACCCAAATAACAATCATGCTTGGCCTTTTTTCTTCCATTAAAAACTATACTCACCCCTTTTTTTCAAGGATACATTTTAGAAAAAGGGTGCGTCACTGTCTAGTTACACCTTTAATTGGGTAGAAAGGCCATGCATGATCACAATATTTTTCTTTCTGAGGACACCAAGGGCATAGGTTGAATTATCGCTATAAAAAGACCAACTCAAAGTCCACTTTCGTGCCCTTTCAAACACGAGGTCCTTCCTCCAGATTGACACCATTATGGACTCAGGTGTGGGATAACAAAGAGGAACGTCGATGCAGGTGCCCCTTGGTTTCCCCTGAGTACTGCACTGGGACAGCTGTTGAGTCAAGGGCAGCTGGGTGGTGTCCCAGGCAGACTGCAGGGGCTGCGCCTGGCCTGCCAGGGGACACGGCAGTCTTGGAGAGATCGCTCCGGCCCCCAGCGGCAGGCACAGTCCAGGCACGTCCTCTACAGGGCATTGCTCGAGCGCACATTGCAGAAAGGTCGGTGCAGCGGCAGACTTGATTGCAGCCGTCGCATGCACACAAGTGTATCTGTCCTTGCTTTTTTATTCGGACTGCCGTTGCGCCGATGTGCTGCGTCAAACGTTCAACCCGTCTTCACCTTATATTACCTACTCGTAATCCAAAAGCGGCACACCTATGCGGCAAGTTTCTATATTCACTTTGACAGCTATGTCTTCGTGTTTCAGAAGCAGTGTGCAGGACTTGGAAATAATTGTGTAAGCGTTTAGTGAACAAGATGTCGAATGTGCCTAACTACCACCTGCTTGTCACCGATACAACTGAGAAAGTAAGACCAGAAATAGGGTAGGTTTCTTTAGTGTGGTACAGTAACTCCTCCTCTCCCAGCTGCACAAAATGCGACACAGAATGAACAGGTGAAAGCTGCTTTTCACCCCTTGCCTCCTAGTAACAAGCGTCACTTGTGCCATCCTTTATGGAACATAAAGCCCGACCACGAGTGTGACTGGTGCGTCTGTTTTGGTGCTTATTTAGCACGCTCTCTGTCAGATGGCAAAACCATCCCTGCTGCTCCATGTACCTTGCACTGTTTGCTTTGCTGTTTGACAGAAAGAGAACGCTCTAGTTTGCCAAAAAAAGAAAAAGTAGTCGCTTGTAAGCGTTTGCGTTAAAACAAGTTGGCTTTGGTGCAGAGGTCCATTTAAGCCACCAAAAAAATGCAAAATCTTTTTTTTTTTTTTTTTAAGTGATATAATGCTTTGGGCATATGTGACAACGAAAATCCTTCATTCAGCCTTTCTGAATTTTTGTAATTGGACAATAATTTGATGGACAGTGACAAGAGTAATGAAAACGATATAAATCGTGCAAGTGTTCAATCAACTTCGGCGTCTGCACGTCTGGGGGACTTGGACCAGAAGTCCCGATTCAGAGCGAGATACCACACCTGGAAGTGGAGGAAATGTTTTCTGTCTTATTTCCAAGCAAATTGAGTTTAAAAAAAAAGTTTGCTGCATGTTCCTCAAAGGGAAAAAAAAAAAAAAGAGTGTGTAGGCAAGGGATTAAACAGGTTGACGGTCATAAATGGTGAGCTCTCATTATACGTGCAATGGAATGTGCTTGTCTGGGCCTCAAACTTGAACAGTAAAATTGCTGATTTGTTGCACTTTGAGTAGAACACAAAAAATTGTGCCAGTGTTTCGTGCGTACCGTAACAGTGTGCATTTTTATTTTAAAAATTTCGGCGGTCTATAAATAAATGGCAATATTTCCGCTTCCTTAAAATTGCACGAGGCATAAAAATTTTTTTTTTTTTTAGATTATTTGAGGCCACTGAATAGCTTTAGCTTTCCAATGCAGAAACAAAGTGTTCTGCAGACACCACCACTTAGCTTTTTAATCTGGTGCATTTTGGCTGTACACCTACCGTAAAATACCGGACAAGCGCCCACTCAAAATTGAGAGATAATCGAGAAAAAAAAACGGGGGATGGGCACAAGTCCGGTCATCAATTTTACATATCAGTCTACCGTGCATATTTTCTCAGATTTTAGAAATTTGGGAATGGGCGGATGTGCGGTGTCCTATGGTAGCCTTCGACCCACGTTTTGCAATTCCAGCCATCATTGTTCAAAAGTATGTTAACTTTTTGAGCAACGCTCCCATGTGCACATACGGGTCTCTCGTACGGCTGCTATTGTTCATCTGCAGCGCATCGCTAAAGCACACACCATTCGGCGTGTCACAATGCAGACGGGCTGCCATGGAGGAAGTCGAAGCGACACATGGCAAGGGACAGCCACACGGTCTCATTTGAAGCTTACGTGGATCACATCATGCAGGACGTTTCCTGCGAGTCGGGTATGTGCCACTGCGGCGAGACTATGAAATTATGGGGCTTCAAATCAAGGCTATGGTCACAGACCGGATGAGAACAACATGGAGGTCCTTCAGCCATCCTACCTCCAGCAAGAGCCTTCTACCTTGGACAAAACCATGCTCAATAAAGGCCGGGACCACAAGCTATAGGCAACTGTCAGCAGGTTGAACCAGTACTTAATCAACGAAGATTACAAAAGATCAGGATCATTTTCGCACAGATGGAGGATTTATTGTCTTATATTTATTTTTGTGCCTTTACTACAGCGTGTGTATCAGCACCTCACAATCTATTTCCACATTCCTACATATTCGTTATGTCCCATAAAGTGTCTTTGATGCTTAAATAAACATGACGGTGAATGAACAAGCTTACTCCACACACATTGCCTAATAATAACTTTCACAAAGCTATCTCACAAAAAAAGTGGTTCCCTGTGTCAAAAAAAAAAAAAAAAGGAACAAAAGAAAACGGCTACAACTGCCGAATTTCCCGAAGGCACAAAGTCCTAATGATGTCCCTGGGTCTTCCAGAGGGATGTGATAAAATTTATTTGTGAGACAACACTGAACCCGGTTCTTTTCCAGGGAATCAGTTGGGATGAGAAGGGGTTCCCCTCTGCCACGCTTGCAGAAGAGCAGCGCACGGGCTGGCGCAATCTCCTCGAGGGACTGCAGTCCGAGGCCAAGAAGCTGCTGCCAGCAGTGGGGACACACGCAGTGAGTTGCATGTCCTGAGTTGCACACCGTAAGCCACGTGCTTCCAGTCGCGCGCTTCAAGTCGGCGCCTCGAATCTTGCACCTCAAATCTCGAGTGGCCAAAGCCATGTGTTGCAGGTCGTGTCCAAGGTCTCGTGTTTGGAGTCGCACTACTTGAATCGCGTGGCACGATACTCGAGTCATGCGCCGTCAGTAACGCAACTAGTCATATGCCTCGAACCACATCTCCAGTGACGAGGCCAAGGTCGCATCCTGCATGGCCAAGGTCGTGCTTCTCTAAGACCGCGCTTCTTCAGGTCACATGTCCAGAAGCGCCGTCTGCAAGTGTCTCCCACTTCCAGCTGCTGCAGCAGCTCCTCCAGCCCGTCTGGGAGGAGCTTGTTGTGCGGGACCGCATGGCCTGGGCTGGGGAGCTGGGGCTCTCGTGTCGCGTGAGCCCCGCCTTCGTGGGCTCTCCCCGAGACCTGGCCCTGGTCATGCTGGGACCTAGGCCTCTGCCTGGGCCATGTAGGCCTCCAGCTCCGCATCCAGGTGACCTCGGGTGCGCGCCATGTACGCCTCCAGCTGCCAGTCCAGCTGCTGACGGTCCGGCTGTGCCCCACCGCGACGGCCCCCACCGCGTCGACGCTGGCGCCGGCCTTCCCCTTCTCGCCTGTGAATCAGAAGTGTTCGGGTCAACAGACCGAAGTTTAGACAAGACGTGCAGGTGACGGCCGAGGACACAGAACCCGACTGTACCCCTTCCGAGACAAAGGGTTACTTGCAGGGTTTCGGGTGGAAGACCACTGATGGCCGTACTGCGCCAAACGAAGTATGGTGTGTCCCCCAAAAAATATGTTTTTTTCACAGCAAAAATAAACTAATAATAATAATAATAACCTTCCCTTTGCTTCAGAAACAAATCTACTCAAGCTACAAATCTGCAGCTTGACAGCATGCCGAGCCTTTCGTTCGTTTTCATCCATGTCAGAAAGGGAATGCGTGGTATGGAACGTGGTTATATATACGCATTTGACCGCAGCGTGACATGGATGAAAACGAACGAAAGGCTCGGCGTGCTGCGGCTCAGCGTCTACGCAGACAAGCACCACCAGAGCTTCGCCCCAATCAACATCATTCACCACGTGGAGATGCTGTTTTTTTTGTTGTTTTTTTTGCCCTACACGGCACGGGAGCACGTGCTCACGAGCACGTGAGCTCACGATTAGGAGCACGTGCACCCGACGGCGGATGGCCATACAGACATGGCTAGCTCCTAAGGAGCTTCGCCCCTAAAAACAAAGATTATGAAGTAGCTTTTAGAGCCCATAGGAAGCTTTCGAAAGAGCGCAAGCACCACATGAAGACTTGTGCGCCAAACAGAAATCCACTGCGGCGGCGCGCCGGAATATTCTCTTCCGGCGTAGGCCTGGAGAAACGTGTTCAGTTGACAGCAGCGGGGACTTCAGTGGCAGGAATGGCTCCGGTATAACTTGCGGCGGCAGCGGCGTAGCACCAGGGTGCACAAGTCTACCACGTGACAAGTGGTGGCTCCTGCGGGCGCCAACTAGTACAAATATGTTCCGCGCCGGAAATATAGCTCTAAAAATGTTTTTGTTTGTTGTAAATTCAGTTCATGACATTCTTTTCCCATCCAGAATTTTTTTTTCTTCCTTTGCATATGTCTTATGTTAAGCAATTTGGACTTCCAGTGCAATGTTGGTGCAACTTTCTCAAATATTGGCAAAACTTAGCAGGGTACGCACTTTGGCATGGCAATCACATCACTGCATGTTGTGGCAAAGTGCAAAAACGAAGGAAGGCACAATTAGAAGAACTACCATAAAATCCCGTATGAACGCCCTCTCCCAAGAGATCACCCGTCCAGTTTTTCTAGCTACATATCCATAGCAGTGATGTGATTGGCCTAAGCCCTTTTGGAGCACCTTTTGGAGCAGCCAAAACAGTGTTTTGGAGCAGCAAAAGTGGCTGTTGGAGCAGCCAAAACAGCGTTTCGGAGCAACAGAAGTGGCTTTTGGAGCAGATATTCTTAGAAAAATAAAAATATTTGTTTTAATTGCTGGACAAACGAAGGGAACTTTGTGGTATGTTGTGACAGAACTCGCTGTTTGTGTTTTACTGCTGAGACATCCCACAAGTGCACAGTGTTATAGGCGTTGCCGAGCTATTCCAAAAAGAACACTTGCCACCGTTTTACTGGTTCCCGACGTGCCAGATTTTTGTCAAAAGTAAGCAAACGCAAAAATATGAATTGCAGGCGTCCCGGCTGGCGCCTCTGTCATGCAGTCATGTTCACACGCACGTGAGGGCAACTTCAGCAGGCTTGCAGTGGCACGTGCTTCGTTGCGTGGGCGGAGACAACGGCTGTTCAATCGAAACCGAAACAATGCCACACCCCTCCGTCGCCAACTGGTTCCCAAAATAGTGTGCAAAATGTAACTGTCCAGCATACAAAAAAAAAAAGCAGTCGAGCGGCCTGTGCTTGCCAGGCCGCCAGGCGATGTACAAGCTAAATACACAGGGGAAAAAAAAAAGCCTGAGCACATCGATGCATGACATCACGAGCCAGGGTCAAAAAGTTCTTGGAGCGCTTCGTGCAACGACCAAACTCGAAGCAAACAAGCGCACTATGTGAGTTCAACGTGCAGACATTGCCTTCTTTGTTTTAGCTCACTTCTCTTCACCAACTTTCTTTCGCGGCAGATTTTTCACGTACCAGGCTCCCTCTCAAAAGGAAGTCCACCGAGAGAAACCTAGGTAACCAATATTTCGACAAGCAGTTATTGAGTTAGAGTTTTTTTTGTAGTAGAGTATGATTTAAAGAAGGCCAGGAATGTCGATGAACAAGTTTAGAAAGCGCCATATCTGCAGCGACGTAGGGACGGCAATACCCGACGTCGTGCGACCACGGTGACTGGAAGGCAGGAACCGAACACAGTTTTCCCACGGCCGTTGCTTTCAAGACCGGGTGCTTCAGCTCACAAAGTACATCCCGCCGCGCGAAAATGTGGTTTTGTTTCACAGCATGACGGCATGGCTGGCACCAGGCGCACTAGCGTCGGAGCGTCCGCACACGCCCGCGTCTATCGTTGAAAAAATTAAAGAAAGACGCGAGACGAGATTTTCAAGACGACGAGGGACCAGGACACGAGCAACGCTGGGCACGACGGCGCGAAACACGATACGGCGGCAAGGAGGTTAGGACGGCGGGAAAAAAATATGCAAGACCGGGTGGACGATTGATGCAGGGTACTTTCTGTCAAGCGGCCGCTTGTGCCACCTAGCTGACGCATGCGCAGTCACGGTTCTCAGTTTAGTTTCGGTTTTGAAAGGCGACCGAAATTGCTTCTTTGGCGCGGGCTTGGTGCAGATTACCTACATTTTGGCAAAATGTAGCAGGATGTAGCAGGGTTTGCCCCTTGGCGCAGTTTGGCGCAATTAGCGCAGCAATCGCATCACTGCCATAGGCAAACAATTCTGAAACACCACCCACCCCCCCTTGATTCCCGCGGTTGATGTTACTCCTCTCGGACATCCCGCGATATCCGACAGGAATCGCATCGGCTCTGCAATTTGCGTTATCGGTACACATGACAAGTGAGCTGGCAGCGGGTTCCCACATGTTTGTAGTAGCACCGTGAATCCCTAATTTGTCATGTCCGTGATCTGCATATGCGATAATCATTCTCGTGACATGTAAATTCGTAGTGGGCTCCAGCGTGCTTATCGCACCGTGAAACATGAATCTGCTGCATACGCAACCTGGGACATCCATTCCCGTGATATGCGAGCTCGTAGCGGGTTTCCACGAGTTTTTGTTGCACCAGGGAACCAACTTGCCGTGTATGCAAAATCAGCTCCCACGTCATCTGGTTGATAGCGGGTGCTGTAGTGTTTACCGGTTATTTTTTTATAAACTTTTGCTGTTTCATTCCCAAAGATCGCCCACCCAATATCTTTCACCATTTATCTCTTCAAAACGTGTGGGCATTCATACGGAATTTTACGGTAGCAGTGTGTGAAAACAACAAACTACATAAAAGCAACACTGCCAGCAAAGCAGATTAAACTCCCAGAGGAAGCAGGACAATACATCCGCCGGTGCTGTGCGCTTTGTTTTCATATTTGATCTTTTTCCTGGCCATCTAACTCGTCAGGCTCGTCGTAGGACGCGGGACGAACGTAACCGCACGTCGTGAAATCCAAACTTCTAACACACTGCCTCTATGAAGAGTTCACTGAAACCACGCCAAATCGTCGTAAAATGTGCAACGTCGCATAATCTGAGGCTGTATAATCGAGGTTTTACGTAGTGCCCCTAGTCGTTCTTGTTCAAACTCGCTCGTCGACCACACTCACCACCGTCTGGGAGTTCAGACGATGATGCTGCCACCATTGAACATTGCAACCAGTGAGCTAGAAAGCTGCGAGAAGACACCTTGTAAAATGGTTGCGAGGCAGCTGCCGCAATGAAACAGGGCGAGAGTGCCTCACTCCTGGTAAAACTGGACAATTACTATGGCAATCGCATCTCCACACCGTGGCACTCGCACTGTGACACATTCTCATTTTTCTTCCCTGTTCTCATTTTTTACAGAAATGAAGCTATGCCATGAAAAAAAGTTAAAGCTCACCATGTGAAGGTGCCAGTTATTTGACAGTGAGCCCTTCAATTCATAACACAGTATGCTGTATAAAACTGACCATAAACACACATAGTTTAGTAAGAGGCACCGAAGCCACTCATAGTGAAGCTCACAGCCCAGAGTCAAAAGGATGCACCTTTGCACTCACCTAAACTGTCCCATAAAATTGCCGTTACTCCTGGGCTGTCTCTGGTAGCCCCTCTGCATCCCTCGACCTGAAAAAGGTGGGAGTCAAATTAAATCAAGGGATCAGTTAATTCATCCTCCGCAGACACCACAAACAGCTGTGACAGAATTAGATTCTCAAAAACTACCAGACATACAAGGGCCGCCTGGAAACCAAAATGACTAAAATTACCCTTAAGTAAAGAGGGATATAACAATACACAAAAATGTTTCTCAGCTTTCTAATCTCAACAAGAGAGATAAATATTTCGAGCGTGAATAAAACCTATTTCAGAAATAAAAACTTCAAATACAGCAGACACCTGATGCTAGTCCCCTTCTTTGAACAAAATTCTGGTCCCACTATATATAAAAGAAGAAAATTATAGTTTTTATACATTACAGGAGAATAATTGCAACTCCTTGCATACTTACATTGAAGTGATTCAGCAGTTAAAATTCCTCTGAAGTTAGTATGCCCCCATATCTGCTAAGGCCCAGCCCGAATCATGCTAGCTGAAATGTAGACCAGTCATTCCACAGTGCCATTTGATGATCAGGTAAGTTGCACTGTCATGTCTAGCCATTATTAGCGATGTGAGCGATCGAAAGCATCGCTGTGGTCAGCCCACCACAATTGGCCGAATGCTGACTATGACGTCAGCAAAGGATGTCTCATCGACAGAAATAAGAGGAATGTAAGAACTTCAATTTTGACGGTGTTGGCAGTGTTGCTTTGAAAGTGCTATGATTTCAGGCTTCCACCATGCCCATTACAAACACCATCGAACTTGTTGTTCCAAAGGTAATGACGTCACAAAAGGTAACCATACGAGGGCGCCACCGAAACATCTCGCCGCCAATAGTCCTAGACAGTGTGAGAACGACGGGGCATCTTTTTCCCATGTCGAGCCTCCAGCAGGTGCCTGAAGCTTCTAGCCATACTTTGGCTGCGCATGCACGTTCCAAGTCCACAAGACGCCTGAGGGTTATTGAAGGCAGGAAGTTTGTGCAGGAGACCGGACAACTGAAAAGCCTCCCTGCAGCTCTCATCATGTCGGTGGCTAGAACATTTCCATACGGGCATCGACATCTTGATGCGCAGAACTACCGGTATGGGACAATACATTGTTCTGTCTTGCCACGACAATATATAGTGTTGATGTTTTAAGTGCTTTTAACACTCATTCTGATGTTCCCTCTGGTATATCTTTTTACTTATTCTAATTTGTAAGCTTTTGCTTTTTTATTTTTTTTTTGTCCGTTACATTGTATATTTGTATTATACGGCTGAGGACGAGGGCCAACGAAAAAGGTCTAGTGTGGACTCATTCAATTTACCCACACCGGCCTTCACCGGTGCAGAAAAGTTAAGCACGGCGTAGAAAGGCACAGGCGGTGAACTTCTGGTACGCGTTTTGACATTGGCCACGCTCGCAAATCGAATGCACGCAGCCGACGCGGGTAAATGGAACGTGGCAAGCGCTGCTGCGTGCGCGTGCTGTGTCCAGTGGCGCTTGGTGTGGCTGCAGCACTCACCCCTGTTGGGCAGCCTCCCCATGGGCCTCATGCCCAGCCGCGCCCTGACGAGGGGCCAGCTGGTCGGGCCGGGGCCCAGCCGCAAGCCAAGCCGAGACTTTATGCTCCCCGTGGGACCCAGGCGCTGCTTCAGGCTCCTCTGCAATCCGCGGGTCGTCGCAGTCAGCGAGGCGCCCAGAACGCGCCTCCGACCGGTGGGCTTAAAGTCTTATTCTGCCCGTGCATCGAAAGTGGCCCCAAAGCAACAACAAACGAATCACAAAAGCCGGAGTGTCGTGCTGCCGGAGATTGCGATCCTGGTGGTTGGTGCCACAAGCCCCAGTAAAAAGTATGAGCAAACGCGAGTGTCGCCGCCGTCACGGCGTCCCAACTCCCGGCCGCCGAAGCTTCTGTGAACTGTCCAGCTGGAGAGCTACCTGCAGTGGAACGGGCGTGTGCCACGTTGACCACCGCTGCACCACCAGGATCGTGGCCGGCGACAGTGTGACGCTTCTTCGGACGCGGTAAACCCACCGGCCGGAAACGCGTTCCAGGCGCCACAGGGACCTTCCTGGTATAGTCAATGAAATAACAAACAAGAACGAGCAAACAGCACGGAAGTACCAGAAGCTCAGGCAAACGCATCCAAATGACGTAAATCGAGATTTTCGTACTGAGACGTTCACTGACATGACAATACGCGCCCCCCGAATTCCCTCGATACCGTAAAATACCGAGCAAGTGCCAACGCAAAAATGGGAATGGGCAGTTGTTAGGTCTCTGGGCAGAAAAGCCAAAAGGGCACACGAAACGCGAGGCCTTCCATTTGATCTGATGGAGCGGTATATACCTTTTCATCTTGGTAGTTACCTGACCGGTGGACAGAGGGCACTGACACACGCGGCGACATAAGGTGGCTTCAGTTCGGCTGGTTTCGGTTTCAGTGGGCCCGCGGCCGTGTTGGTGTGTTAAGTCTTTTTTGCTTAATTTTGCGATATAAATATATCTCTTGTGGTACGGAACCAACTATACAGTGGTAATGTGCCACCTTGAGAACTACAATCTAGCTAAGGGCCTAAATTTTGAACGTTTTTACGAACACCTTTGTTTGATCATGTTCCTCATTCGGCCAGGTTAGGCAGTGAAATGACTGAAATGATGCCGGGGAAGGATTACGGATGTCTACAGCCATACTGGACGTGCTTGCTGATACTAGTTTCCAGAAAATTAAACTAATTAAAAGACCAAAGCTTGAAGGCATAGTGAAAAGGCAGGTCGACGACCTGACTAACAATGTGCTGAATCGCGAAGAACAGACGAGCTCGCAAGTTTAGTGCTCACTGTTTGGTTTTCATGGACATCAACTTTGTGTGAAAATTGCCGACCAGGAAACCCCCGTTTAATGACGCATGGAATGAATAAAAGTAGCAATATTGTCTTCATCGGTAAGAAATTAGGTGCTCGAGAGATGTTTTGATGGTCCATAGTAGGCCGAGCAGGACATTTTTGCAACTATCTGACCTGCTAAAGTATTCATAAGCAGCCTTTCACAATGCCGACCTTAGGAAACTATATGTTATGCGGACATTTCCTTACAGCATATTGAAAAGGTGAGATAAGGGACAATCCCATCAATTGAAGTCTGACTTCCATATAATTTGCAAACAAAAATGGTGTAAAAGAATTCACCTTTAGCAAACTTGGCTCAAGTCAAATGCCAGGCACGACTTCATGAATTTGTGTAAACATACCTTTATTTCTTTCAACAGACACACTTTTTAGTTTCAGCGGCGTCAAGAGTAAATCCAGCATCGACCATGCTGCACTTGAGTGATTTCTATGCAGACGACTTCTTTTCAGCGTCGCATATTGCGTACGTGCCACAGGCACTTTGGTCAAGCACTCACAAGCTGTCTTTGACAGGTTTTTTCACCCGGCGAGCAAACCCTGTGTGTCTAAATATGGATATCTTAAGAAAATTGAATGACTGCAGACGTGAGACTGAGCCAGGCACGTAGCCAGTATTTTGGTTCGGGGGGGGGGGGGGGGGGGGGGGGGGGGGAGGGGGGAGAGGAGGTCCCAGCAAAATAAAAGATTTCGGAGGGGGCCCGGGCCCCATGGACCTCCCCCCTGGCTACGTGCCTGGACTGAGCACAATGTATTGTTTCTTTAAATTCATAAATAAACAGATCAAGCGAATGTTTAAACCACAAAAATTATTCCCCCATATAATCAAAAGCAACTGCTTTGAATTTGCTATGAAGGCAGAGCACGATGCTTTCAAGAACCACACATAGGGACTACCTGCGTTGATTATATTTGACTTCTTGAACATCATAAATGCGTGATCACAAATATACCTAGCGTTTCTTATTGCGCAACTAACACTTAGCCACTATCACTTAATTCAGCGAATTTCCACTGTCATAAATAATTGGCCTTTCAACCTTCGTCTGTCTTAGACATCTACATATTCAATGTGTGCCAGTGCTAACGCTAATTCCTTTCTTCACACGTATTCGGTACGCCAACACTGCAAATTGTCGTAACCTGTTATAAAATAAAGTGTATAAGTTGTGCACATAATGATGGCATGCAGTTAGGTGGTAAAAATAAGTATCAGGCGACACTTCACAAAGCAAAACAAAAAATTTGTGGTAAAATGCAACGAAAAGAACGAATACGCCTCTGCCAAGGCGCGGAGGGGAGAGAGGAGCAACAATCTGAAGCCACCTCATGGCAGCCGCGTCAGGTGATTCCAAGATGGCAGCGCCCATGCAAAGGAGGGTGAAAAGGTCTATAGGAGCAATACAGGAATCTGGTGAAACTCTTGATGTTTCAAAGCAGTTGGGCAGCTATTTCTAACTCTGCTTTGCGCCGGTGCTTTTTGCATCGAGCTTGATATGCCTTTAATGTACTTCGAGTGTTTTAAAAGTGGGCGGTGGACAGCTATTGCGACATGGGTACATGCTCGGTACTTTAAGGTGTTTCACCCTGCAACCAAATAGGACAATTACCAGCTTAGATGCTGAGCCATGCAAGATATGTGTTTTGTCAGAATGTAGCAAATATTCACTTTCACAGAAAAATTATGAAGCATACTATTTTGTTTTTGGTGCCATCAACATAGCAGTAACCTAGTGTGAAAATGCTATAGACTATGGATCGAAGTGCATTGGCAACTACAGGCTGGGCATGCCTCCACAACTTTCTAGCGCACAATGCCAGAACATTTAGTTGATTAATGCAGCTCACCCTCTTTTGGGCAGTTACAGGAGGTGAAGACTGAAATGTAAACAAATAGTACTATGTTAAATATATGTACCATATAAGAGGCAACAAAAGCTTGGCTGAGCTGTTACTTCCCAGACTTTTGGCAAGATTCCCTCATTCATTTGTTGGCTGAAAGATGCCTAGACCCATCAGAGACAACTACAATGGTCAAAGCACTCGACTGATTGGCAGGTTAATTTAATTGATCAACTGCCGAGGTCCAGCACCTACATGTGGTATAAACACCCCACAAAAGTGGAGTGGTCCTGGTGGGTCCAGATGGCTGGCAAACTTATAATGAATGCAAAGGAGCAGCAAAATAGTGCCTGCAAAGTCTGCATCTAGACTCTAGCTTAATTTTGTAAGAAAACACCCGCATCATGCACGGTACAAGGAAAAACGACAGCACACGAGAAAATTAACAACTTGAATGGACATGCCAAACTTTTTGTTTGTTCTCTTTTTCCGGTTTTCTCTCGCTTTCTTTCTTGTCCATTCTTTTGGGACCATTGACATGAGCGCTTACACTTTCCTGCACTCCACTCACACCTTTACCCCGCTGCTTCTCTGAATAAATGGATGGTATTGGCATACCCTTTGTACTGAGCAGTACCTTGCGCAATCTAGAAACCCTTTCACCCACCTTTTTGAGACGCAGGGCAGCCAGCACGCTAGGGCGGGTGGCCATTTGCTGGGCGAGTCGCAGGTTGCGCAGAGAAGCCGCCTGCTGCCGCTGCTGGTGCTGCTGCTGTTGTTGCTCCAGGGCCCCCAGGGCGGCCAGGCGTCCCATGGGGCCCAAGGGGCCAATGGCACTGATGGCCCCCAGGGCTCCCAGACCCCCCAGGGCCTCTGCCTGCTGCCGGTAGGCAGTGAACCTGCACACACCAGGGTGCATTTGACACCAAAGCTATGATTTTTTTCGCCTTACGGTGGACTCCTGCGGAAGTTAAGCACTATCCCAGCCAACCTAGCGCCCCAAATGTCTTCCGTGACCGTGTGCCCCTGCACGCAGTCACGCGCGCATTGCACTGGCTTCGATGGCTTGTAGTGTCTGAGGTCTGTCGTAACATGAAAAGGAGTTAGATCTGGCTCCTACGGCTGATCAGCCACAAGCATAAAAAATCGCAAATAAAAATGTCCTGGCAGTAGACCCTTTACAAAAAAAAAAAATAGTAGTCCTGTGTTAATCCACTGTAGTCACAGCGATAGCTGCGACTCGTCATGGCGAAGTTGTCGGGCATCGGCGTCGCGTTCACGCACTATAGTGTGCACAAAAGTGTTCAGGACAAAATAGACATATGTTTTGTTCCATTTTGTTCTAAATGCTTGTTGTTGTTTTTTGTTCTTTTTTGTTCCGGAGCACGTGAGAGCACATCTCCCAGGCACAAGCTCTAGGCACTGGAAGTGCTAGGATGCCAACTTGTTATAGGCTATTTTTTTTTTTTTTTTTCTTTTAAGAAAGCATGTGCAGTGGATGTCAGGTACTACAAAAACCCTAAGCACAGAGTGGGTTGTTAATGTTGTGGCAAAGCTCAGTGGTAACACCTCCGCCTCGCGGACCCAGGCTCGATTCCCGCAGGAGGCGGGAGAAATTTTTTTAAGGATTTGGCAACATGACAAAGGACGACTACATCACCAACTACAACATCAAGAATGACAACAACTACAACATTAACCACGGACATCATTTCCAGAGGTGGGAAGAGCCCAAAACAGCTGTCGCTGTAAAATATACGCCACCTAGAGGCTCTTGTACTAATTATTTGAGATTACCATATTTTGGGGCATGCACCCTGAGCACACATCAAACGAGAGCGCAGTATTTGCATTCGATGCAAACTTGGGTCTGATCACACATTTTGCCAGGGAAGCGATGCCCGAAAGATGGTAAGCAACAATATTGTTTGATACTGTTTCGTAGAGTGTAAAGCTTGAACATGGAAAAACATGACCACTTGGCATTTGTTTCATGGCACATATAATGATATCAAAGGCTGTGTACATTTCTTCTGCCACGATCCTGGTAAGAGCTCAATTAAGGTTAATATTTTCATGCAGCATCATAGTAGGTTTATTTTCGAAGGAACTTTTTTAATGGTATTCAGCTTGCAACCAGAACACAGTAAAAATAATTGTCCCTTTTTTGACTGCCCACATTTACTGGACTGCAAGAGGCAAGGCAAAGAATGAGCAAGAGTGCTCAACAGACACTCACCGCTCGTTGAGACTGAGCTTGGTGGTGTTCTTCAGGAGTACTCTGCTGGGGCCTGCCATGGCTTGGGATGGCACCCCTAGGGGCTGCGCACCTGAGGCAAACAGAATGTATTTGCAAGCTTTGTTCACTACTATTTGCTCAGTGAATGGTAAGTACAGATAATTTGACATTTGGTCCCAATCACTAGCAATACATATGAGCGGGTACTGAGCATTTAGCAATGAATAACTTATTTCAGCAGTGAGGCTTCTCCCAAACACAGGTACTTAAAATTTCACTTCTCAAGCCTCAAGTCCAAAAACTTCTCTTCAATATTTGGATTTTGTGAAGGCAAGAAATTCAAAGATGTTCAAAAAACATGCTGGATTACAACTATATGAATGCTTCAATGGCTGAATAGCTGGAAGCAGTGCATAATCAGAGTGTAGCAATTCCCAAACTGAACTCTGTTGGTTTAACATGTCTAATGGTAAGGATCCTACCAATCATTTTCTTTATTTCGTTTTACAAGTTGTTCCCCTTCCACACGGCTCTCTAGCAACTAGCAGAAACTACAAATGCATTCTAGTTGAAATCTTTTTTTACGGTTGCTCTATTACAAAAAAGGTAGTTGCAGTCGTTCCACAACATGACTACTTGCTTAACTGCCATAATTTAGAGTTAGTACAGACATTGTCTACAAGAATGTATGAGTACTCTCCTTACACCTGAAAAAAAGATACCCCCCTTTCTCACCCCATAAACTAGGCAAAGCACGGGGGTGGGGAGGGGGGGGGGGGGGGGGGGGGGGGGGCAACTTTTTGTGGCATTGCAATCAAAGGAACGGAAGCATGTGTGATCTTTGTCAATTAAAGCTGCTGTGTACGGGTGGTTATCATTTGAGCCTGTTCTCGTTTTGCCCTTTTCACTTAGCCGTTCTCAAAACAACCATTCTCAAAAAGACCTTGTCTCTTGGACCTGTCGCATTTGACCCTTTCCCGTTTCGTCCTTCGCATTTCAACCTTCCTCATTTGAGTCCGTTCTTGTTTCGCCCTTCTTACTTGGCTCTTCTCAAAACAACCATTCTCAAAAAGATCTCGTTTTGGCCCGTCGCATTTGGCCCTTTCCCGTTTCGTCTTCCGCATTCCAAGCCTCCTCATTTGAGCCCGTTCTCGCTTCGCCCTTCTCCCCTGGCCCATTTCAAAACAGCCAATCTCAAAAATATCTCGCTTTTTGACCCGTCGCCCTTGACTATTATCATACCAAAATTGTTTTCTAGGGTAATATTAATAAATATATTGATACATTTGGTGCATGTGTGTATGCACGCTACAGGCATACTTTCTCTGCTAAGGATTTTAGCAGTGCGTCGAGGTCGTCGTGAAAAGCTAATAGCTGACAATAAAACAGACACTATTTATCGCAGCCAGATCATATTCCGAAATGTCACGTTATTTGAGGTCTCTCGACTTGGGACAACGCCACCACTTCTATTATGCAGTGGTTTTCCAATGGGGGTCTGCGAAGGCATCCTAGGGGTCGGCGAAGCCCTGTTTCAACAGTCAAGCAAGGCAATATTAGTTGTCTTTCTTCACGTTGAAAAGAAACGTTCCAATTTTCGGGTGAGTACTCCGGAGTGTATGTCAATGAGATAAGTCTACTTCACACTAGCAATTAGTTATATTCATTTGTTAAATCATTATCATGATAACCTATACCTTTCTATTCCCTGCACCCCAAACAGGGTCCTCCATCATCTCCACCTTTCTACAAGGGGTCCGCGAAACATCAATGGTTGAGAACCACTGCTATTATGTATGCTATTTCTGTTTAAACAAAGTTTCCAAATTAAATGTTCACCTTTTTTTTTCTCGTTCGCTTAGAGGAAGGGAAGCAGGCGTCATTGTACGATTCTCAGTGTGTACCTCTACACATAACATATATATGATGGTATGTTGGGGGCCCAAGCAAGGTAAGGCTCATCAACAAAACCGCGAAGGCATAACGACGTGAGAAGCATGCCGAACTAGTGCCATTCGGTCATAGCGCGAACAGGCGAAATGAGAATGGGTCCAGTTGCGAAAAATACAATTTGGATCTTATGAGAAGGTTCAAACAAGGCGGACCAAATGAGAATGGGACGAAAAGCACACGGTCAAAATGCAAATGGGACGTTTTCAGATAACGGGCAAAATGAGAATGGGCCCAGTTGCAAAAAACACGATTCGGATCTTATGAGAAGGCTCAAACGAGAAGGACCAAATGAAAATGGGACGAAATGTGCAAGGTTTCAAATGCGAATGGGACGTTTTGAGATACCCCCACTGTGTACATACAAGGCAATCCTTGTTACAGGGTACGGCGGTCGAAGGTCCTGCGATTGTTGTCGGTCATTAAAAGGCCTGCTGGCGATATATTGACTCCCAAAAGGCACAGAGCTTGAAGCTGGCTCAACCGGTTAACATTTGACCGGCACATGTCGCAGATCAAGAGTCCAACCCCTGACCTGCCTCGAAAACGAAAGGCTGCTGCAGCACGTAGTAGCCGCTCCTCGCATAGCAACTGAGATGAATTGATCTTTTGACTATTTGTCTTTGCTACTGGTCCTCCTCGCGAGACATAGGAGAGCAGCAAAACGTTTCTTCCAACGATCTGGCTTCTCTCAACAATATTTAGAGGAGGCTTGGTGGAAAGGGCGACTGACCGGGAAGGGGTATCAACCGGTGATTAATTATAGTAGAAATACGGACTATCAGAACACCTTTCGTTTACAAAAATGACTTGTAAAACTGATTTCAGAGACGACAGGGCAGACGACAAACATTTCACTCCACTGAAAGGTACGAACTGAACGGATTTTGCTGCCGTGAGGCTACATTTTACGAGTGGCTCTACGGCAACGTTTTGTTCCTGGGCTAAATTAAGTTGCAATTGGAAGAATGAACGAAATTGTGGATCATGTTTTGGGTTACGAAAGTAGTGCTGGTGTCTCTAATAACGAAGCTACAGGGAGAGCCGAGAAGTTTAAGTTAGGCATAACGAGAAATGCGCCGCTAACATTGCTTCCGCGGTCAGGGACGAAAGTGTCGAGCATGACATTCGCTACAAAAACGTGAATGACGCTCAAGTTCTAGACTTACTATGATGTCTTGAAATCAAAGCAGGGAGTTTCACTCTCGTCGCAAAACCACAAACGTTCGCAGCACAACGGCGCTACAGCAGACACAGAAGCAAACAGACGAGAGACGTTGGACTGGTTGGGTGGTTGGGTCGCCCCAGACGATGCCAGATAACTTGAAAGCCAAAAGACAGCCGAGCCAAGATAAGTCGGATAAATAAATAAATGACATAGGCAAATACATTGAAGTCCTTGAATCAGGTGGCGACTTGCGCCACCTATGCATAACTTTTAGTCTTAACAAAGAATAATTAAGATTAATTTTAATATTGATATTTATTTTGGCTCAGGAGAGACGCGGCATTCCCAGAGCCGTATATGTAGAGAGTTTGGTCAATGGGAGGCGCGGGCAGTGTTGGGGCGTGCGGCAGAGTCGGAAAGAGGGCTTGGCATCAAGCTTGGCAAGCTCTCTTGAGTCTTGACCAACCAGAAGCCGAAAAGAATCCCCTAGCGTGTGTAGGTAGAGGTTCAACTGGCGCTAGTGTGCTGCTGCAAATTGAAGCAGACAACAACCAGTCGGAAATTGACTTCCGGTAATGCTTTTCTATGGGAAAAAACGAGTGCATTTTCTCGCTGCGCTCGATTACAAGAGCAAATATCACAAATATTTCGTACGTACTAGGCACATTGGAACATTTCTCAGTCACGCAGACGAAATAATTGGTCAGTTACGGCGTTTTTATTTGAAATTCGTGGCATGAAAAACGGTGCTAAAACCGTTTTGTACATGTATTTGTGTGCACTGCCGGACACTGTTAGCGCGAACACGGCGTCGGCGCTTTCCGCCATGGGGGATATGCGTGTCAAACGAACGAAGCTCATGTGGAAAACCAAGAGAGACGGCAAAAACTACGCAGTTACACTGGGTAATGAACTCCTGTGCTTGCAGACGATCAAAATATGTTGAAAGTCACGTAATATAGTCCGATTTGCAATAAATAAGTAGTGCTTTATTTTTTCTGCCCCTGAATATGTGCGAAAATGCATGTTCTGGGTTCAAATCATCAACAACACGCTCCAAACCTTTACAAATAGGGAAAAGTCAGAGAACAGGTGCCCGATAAAAACTGCCTGACATAGGAAATAATAAAAAGACACACCTTTCGTAGCCCACGTGCTTTTTTTTTTTTACATTCGAATGTTCTTTAACCGATCGTAAAGATGCACGACAGAATCATATTCATAGAGTGACAGGACAGGCATATCCGCAATATATAACCGGCACCCGAATGCTAGCGAACCTTGAACAAACTCTACATTCCTTTCGATCGTTAGTTAGCTCAGAATCGTCGCTCGTTTTTACATACCTGCCATGGAACAGAGGTTTGGGCCTGAAATATAGCGAAGCGTAACATCGTTCAATGGTAAAGAAAAATGCTGCAATTAAAGCAATTACACTTTTACAATATTAATAAAGGTACATACTATCCGGTACAACCGAAATAATAAAAGTTATTTATGTTATTTTCCGGCGAAAAGACAAAATTCGCGCGCGTTTTCCCATAGGAATGCACAGGAGCACCGCAAAAGTTGACTGGTTGCTGTCTGCTTCAATTTGCCTCCCGGAAGTAGCATAGACACTAGCGCCAGTTGAACCTCTAGCGTACATTATAATAACTCTATGGTAGTAACTAGGGGTGTCGCGAACTTTTGTCGGACCAGATTTTTAGGTCGAACTTTCGGGGTTTTACTGGGTCGAACCGTTTCGACGAACCTTCGAAACTTTTCACCAGATTCGACCGGTTCGACTTTGAGGACAGTGTGGCCAGACCTTGACACACGGATGTCTAGGTTTAGAGAATTTATTTTTATGCGAAGAGTTATTTTATTTTATGAACAGTTGCAATTAAAAGAAACCAATTTTAGTCACTGAAGACGTTAATAACTTAATTGTTTTGTACTGAATTAGCTGAAATAACCAACCAGCGGTGCCCTTAATTCATCCCTTAGCCATTACCATCCAATCCGAAGGCAACTGTCGAGCCTGTCGCGCATGCGCACACAAGTCGAACCTCAATACAAGGTTCGTCGAAATGTCCGCAAAAGGTTCGAAAAAGTCGAACCTGGTCGAACTCGAACCTCGGCCGGTTCGCGACACCCCTAGTAGTAACTAGGGGTGTCGCGAACTTTTGTCGAACCAGATTTTTTGGTCGAACTTTCGGGGTTCGACTGGGTCGAACCGGTTCGACGAACCTTCAAACTTTTCAACAGATTTGACCGGTTCGACTTTGTGGACAGTGAGGCCAGACCTTGATACAAGCATGTCTGGGTTTGGAAAAGTTTTTTTTTATGCAAAGGGTTATTTTATATTGTGAACAGTTGTAAATTAAAAGAAACTAATTCTAATCACTGAAGAAGTTAATAACTTAATTTTTAGTACTGTATTAACTGAAATAGTCAATCAGCGCTGCACTTAATTCATCTCTTAGCCATTATCATCCAATCCGAAGCCAACTGGCCAGCGTGTCGCGGGTGTCGCGCATGTGCACACGAGTCGAACCTCAATAGGAGGTTCGTCGAACTTTTCACTAAAAGTTCGAAAAAGTCGAACCTGGTCGAACTCGAACCGCGGCCGGTTCGCGACACCCCTAGTAGTAACTCTTGAAGTGTAGTAACTCTTTGCGGTTGAAAATAGGGTGCACGTGTTGTTTTGATCATGATCATGCAGAAAGATGTAAGAAACGAATGCGCCGCGCAACTCTGTTTTACGCAGACAGAGTGTGACCGTTCGGACGGCAGATTCCCGGCCCTGGGCGCTTGGCGTACGAATCATGTCGATCGTTCCGCTAGTCACACTCTTCCACCATCATTTTGGATTAACGTGATTGAAACATCACGTGTACCATATTTTCAGCCATTGAGAGTTACTCCAATGCAGTTATCAGGTTTGTTTCTCGCGACCACCGCCAGGGTATTATTTCCGGCTTCTGGTTGGTCACATTCAAATTTCTGAAGACGCCCTGGAACACGCCCAGCCCGCTTTCGGCCAATGGCGCCTCCTCATTTGTCCCCTATACTTCCCAACGAATGGCCAAACTCTCAACATTTACGGCTCTGGCCATTCCTGAGCAACTAGAAGTAGCGACGTCGCCAAGAATTTATTTTGTTGGGGGCTGACGCGCCTGATAAAACCCCGGCATAAAAAAATAATAATAAATAAATAAATAAATAAATATATATATAAGTCACCAGGCATGATCTAAAATGGACCATAAAAATCGACACCTGCACGTAGCAATATTAACTCTTCATCAAAGGTGTATTTCACAGGTCGGTTTATTCACGTAAAATTACAAAGCGTAGCTCCTTTTCTGTAAAAAATAGGACCAAGAAACTTGCCAGGGTCAACGGCGGGCTGCGACGCAGACGACCAAGTCGAGTTGCAGGGCATGTTTTGTGCACCTATTGATAGATGGCGTCGGGAGCAGCGTCAGAAAGTTTAGCCGACCGGCCTCGCTCATAGATGGCGGCAACCTTTTCAGCCTTTTCACTCTGGTTTTCACCTGAGTGGAAGGAATGAATTTCTTTAGGCGTTGTCCTAGAAGTCGTCCTAGTTGTCGTCCCTGAGGTCGTCCTAGACGTCGTCCTCGAAGTCGTGCTTGAGGCCGTCCCATCATAGTACAGCTTCGCTGGTCTTCCTTCACCAAAATAAAAAAAAACTAAAAGGGTTTTTCGTTTTTTGTTTAAACTTTTGTTTTTATTGTTTGCATTTATTTTTGAACTAAAGGTACATTACAAAAAGATTATATTCATTTTAATGAACCACGGTGGTCGCGAGCAGTCTCGATAAGGTTTGGGCTAGAGCACACTAAAGTTACTTTAGAGCACACCAGCTTGGAGCCCGCTGAGCGAAAGCTCGCACTGCAGAACCCAGGGATCCTGGGTTCAATCCCCACCCCTGTCCTTTCAATCTGGATGATCACTGTACCGGCCTACGGTTGCGCATCACTACTGCGTGGTTCACGCTAAAGACCCCAGGCTAGCGGTTGTACTGCACTCGCTAAATTGCTCATCTACAGCGAGCGACTCGTCGCAACTTTGAAATGGTTGACCAACTACACGCTATATAAATATCCACACAACCCCGATTATTCTCAATAAGGAGGTAGCGCCACCTACCAATACGAGCCTCAAACGTGCTTTGCCACTTTGCTTAGTCGTCTACATCGCTGCCCGCCGTTGACCCTGGCAAATTCCTCGGTTCTATTTTTTACAGAAAGCGAGCTACACTTTTAAATTTTACAAGAAAAAACCGACCTGTGAAATACACCTTTGATAAAAAGTTTAGATTGCTATGCGCCACCATAATCTTTACGGTCCATTTTAGATCGAGCCTGGCGACTTGGGACACCCTATATATAAACTTGGGAGTGTTTTTCTCCGTAATGCCTTTGTCCAAAATTTTTTTTTTTTTTTTGTGGAGAACAAGAACATAGTAAGAGTGAAATGGAAGCCCTTCTCAACTCTCTCCCCTTTGGCAAAGCAAACGCTGGAGGGGAGGCGACCTGATCTCCAGCATTTGCTCTACTGAAGTGAAAAGAGGTGGAAGAGAGAGAGAAATTCCTTTACTTTGGGTCAAACAAAGACCCTAGAGGTGCTCCTCTGCTAAGCGGACGAGAGCCAGCTGTTCGACGTGAGCCACCGAGGTTGGTTTTACTTCGGATATTATTTGCATAAGCACTTTGGAGACTGACCTCGCAACTGTGAACATTGTAACCAATGATTCGGGGGCCCCAATTCAGTACATATATGTTTCTAAGCCATTATAATTTCAACTCAATGTAAATAATTCACAATACCATGATGTTTGTACAATGTGAATGTGGTCGTATTAGCGCATGTAGATTTTACTTTTATATTAACACTTTTATATATTGTCACATTTTTATTTGCCTCACTAACTAAAGTCTGTCAACCCAATTTGTTTTTTAGCGATCTGGCGTCTTGAACATAGAGACTAATTTATTAATATTTATTACAAATATAAGAATGTAGTACTTCATTTCCCCAGACTGTCAAGTTCCATCATGAATTTAACAAAATTAATAAAAAGAAAGTGCAATACGTGAACATTGAAGTAAGGAATGAACAAATAAGTCATATGGCCCAAGTCGGATCGCTCAGAAACAAGTAATTGTAAAGTAATCTCCTTACATTTTAAAAGTAATTGGTAATTAATTAGTTTTCATGTTGAAGTAATTGTAATTAAACTACTTTTGAAGCAAAGTAATTGTAATTAAATGACATTTTGAAAGTAATTTACTCATGTATGGCGTGTATGGGTCAGTCAGGTGGGTTAACGTTTTTGAAATGAGCCGTCACTGCGAATGCTGACTGGCAGGTGGGTTAAAGCGCACCCGTGATACAAGCATGACGAAATTTCCCTACAGTGTGCGATTCGCGCAACGATTGTCGATGAAACGTTTGTCTCAATGAAATGTGTGTCCATAAAAAGTTGTCCACAAAACGATAGGGACCCGGTATTTTGGGGGAGCGGTGTAAGGGGAAATCAATAGATCGTATGGCAGCTTGTTGCAGGAGCCAGTGGCCCTGCGTAGAGCCAGACAGGGGGCCCAGGTGACGGTCCCTGTGAAGTCCGAGGAGAGTAGAAAGAGGGAGAAAGAGCCTTGTACCATAGAGTTTATTTGTAGATGCGTGTATAGGGAGGTGCAGAACTGCTCTATGTAGCGTATTAAGAGTGGACTGTATATGTTTCGTCCGTGTTTGCATAAGCACACAGTGAGAGAGAGTGTAGATCTTGTTTAAGGCGAAAGCTGCAACTAATTGGCCAGCTCTGCCCACACGGCGGACCAGGTGTATTACCTGATGGCAGGTGTTTATGGTTGGGAGAAGCCAGACTAAAACTCTCCTTGAGGTTGCTTTTTTATTTTAATGTCTCTTGCTCCGTTTTTTTTCAGTTCTCGGTACCGGGATGACGTTGTTGAGGTATTTGGGTCACAGGTGCAAGTCGAAAAGGAAAACGGGGGAGGGGGGGGGTATTTAGGGTTAAAATTTTATAGATATGCAGCTGCTTTATAACATTGGCCACGATGCCTTCAGTTACTGCACGAATGCAGTGTGAAATGCCTTACAACAGAGCTTGCCAGGATAGTATCACGAGCACAGCCAGACTTGGCAACCAGCTATTTCATCGGCCTGTGCTTATCACACAATACTTGACACTTAAAGGGGCCCTGCAATCATATTTAAGCGTCTACCTTTTTTGCGATATCCACGTCTCTTGGGGTTCGGGCAAGCCAGCGGGCACGGAGAGAGCAACTAAATATCAATGCGTCATACTTTAACCGGACGACACGGAAACCTCCTCGACCTACAAGGGCGACCCGCGTTGCCGAAAGCGCGCGATATGCGACGTCCTTGGTTCTGGGCTTACTACAGGTCAGAAGTGCTAAGAGCTTTTTTTAGTCGAGATACAAAATAAAAGTGTCGCGAACCGTTTCAATTATGTATGAAAGTAGTTTTTGTTCTGTATTTTAGATCAGAAAAGAAACAAATGCAGTTTATAAAGAACGGAAACAAGAAATGACCCGTCGACATACCTGCCACCAAGTGGCGGAAAAAACGGTGCATACTCGAAAGGGCTATTGCGATGAGGCGCCGACGAACGGCAAGCGTAGAGAGGTCCCGGATGTATGCGGCGGCCCTGCGGTCGTATACTGGCTCGAGGATTCGACGCGGGCTTGGCTGGCGATTTTGCCATTTGGCGGTATGGAAGCGTGAAGTGGCTCCTGTTCTGAACTGATATTTATTCCGTGTTTTGCTGCCATTTATGGCCAATGAAGTGTTATGCCGAATTAGTCTTTAATCGTGCAGCAAATGCAATGCGAGCTGCCCTGGCCACCCGCTTCATAGAGCCTATCCAACACGTGCTTTAGTGGCGCCCTCTCGAGCCGTCGACACGGTGTTTGGCAGCCGTAAGCGCTCGATGAGCTCACTACTCTTCCTCTAGTTCACGGCCACTCAAGCCAGGACCTACGACGTCATGAAGGAAGTTATTTTTTGCTTGTTTTTGTAATTCTAATTTGCCTATAACTTTTAAAATAAAGCAAAATTTGAGAAAAGCAAAGTTTCATCAAGTTACTATGTTCAGTGCGCTCAGGATCGGTGCAAAATAAAAACCAGTCAATAAGTTGTTGCAGGGCACTTTTAAGGGTAAAGGGTGGGTCAGAGGTGTGATGGTAACCCCTAACTAAATTTGTATGCATATGGTTGTATAGACATGATGGACTGCAGCCTTGAAAACATAAAAAAACAAAGCATGGGGAGAAAAGCATGCTGAATGACTGCCCCCAGAGGTGATCTCAAGCATTCAAATGTCAGGAAAAGAAACCATACAACTCGAAGACATTAAGCCAATATATTTTACATGTGCTCTGTACATGAGGATTCACACATCTCTATTACCTTAATCGCAAGTAAAAACCAAGGATGTTAGAATTCACATTCGCAATTTAAAGCCCGAACCATGCTTGTCATTGTCTAGCACAGGGGCCTCCAAATATCTTGGCTAAGGGGCCAGACTGGGGGTCAGTCGCAGTCTCAAGGGCTAAAATATAAATATAGAAATTTAAAGTATAAAAAAATGAATAAATAGTGCTCGTCGTTTCTGCATCTTCATGTGCGCAAGGATGCGCCGTTTTTTCATGCGAGTTTATTTTTGCTTCAGTAGCAGCAGGCTTGCTGCAAGCGGGCATTGGTAATGGTGTCTCTGGAAGGACCGCGGCCAGCTGAGGGCCGGTCAGAAGGGGCCGGGGTTTGGAGACCCCTGGTCTAGCAGGTGCAAGAGCACATGGCACAGTGAAGATTGATAACTCCAAATAGAGCATTTGCTATATTACCCAAGCAACAAGGAGAATGCAGGGATTGGTGTTCCACATGCCACACGCGCAAGCCTTCCCCGTGTAAAAGATTCAAAGCAAATAACCAAAAGAAAGCGTTGACGAACGCGCGTGCAAGATGCCATTTGTTTTAGGTATTTGCTTTAGAAAAGTTATTACTGCTGACGTCAGCACGTGCTGCGTGTGGAACACCAATCCCTGCATTCTCCTTGATGCTTGGGTAATATAGCAATAGGTCTATTGGATCAAATTTATGAGCTGGTAATGACAGAGGACAGCAGGACTTCATTTTCAATAGTGGCTCCAAGATTAAAGGGTCCCTTTAATTCCGAGTCAAATTATGTGCCAGTTAGTGGCAAACACAAGCATTTAAAGTCCATACTTGGTAATAGTATTGGTGAAGTGTGAAACATGGCGACCTCGGCATCCACATGCAGTGCTGGCTGAAAAAGTTAATGTGAACCCTTACTGATGTTTTAGAGCATGTGCTCTTCAGGCAAATATTAGTGAGATGCACCAGTAAAAAGGCCGGTCATTCACATCCTCAAAACTGAATGGAAAATTTGGGCATGTAGTGAGTGCATGGCCTTGTTATTCCTATTTCAATGGCACTAGCCACAAAGGGGAAAGGTGCTTGTTATTTTGAATCAGTTTCACACATATATATCAATGAACTCAAAATTTTCTTAATTCCTCTATTACTTCCTGCAGCTTCACATACTCATCTGTGTCAGTCATGGAAATTTAAAATTGTGAGAAACATAATGCAGGGGCACTTTAAAAGAAATCCGATGCTCTTGAGCGCTTTTGACTCTTGACTCCTGCTGGTGTCTGGGACATATTGGTCTTTAGTACGCCTTGGACAGGTTTTCTGGAGGCGTCAAACGGAATCTCAGGACTGTTCTTCAGGGTTTCAAAGTACTCTCTTGGATCTAGAAAAGAAGTTTAAAAAAATGGTGAGATACCGTTAAGCATGGCGTGAAGTCGAACATATTGTTATTCATTGACCGTAACTGAAAGCCGCAATAGCACAGAACAAGTTGCTACTTGACCACCCGCACTTTGAATTACCCAGAGTGTCGAACCGATATTTTTATCGGTTCGGTTCGGGTTCGGGTTCACGGCTTTCGGTTCAGTTCCGGTTCAGTTCCGGGGCGCAAAAAAAAGGGTTCAAACCGGTTCAAACCGGTTCGAACCGGTTTGAACCGCTAAATTGAGAATATATTTTCCGCGTTGTTCTGTCAATAGGCACTATTTAGGCCGTGAAACTAACTGCTGTAAACGATCTGATTTTTGCAAGGACCTATTTTTGAGAATTTCGCGATGAGCCTACGATTCGCGAAAAATGGGTCACGCGAACGATTTCGGTAAAATGTAAACACATTGAAATTTATATTGAGATTCCACCGCGTCGAGAAAATTACAACCCGCGAATTATTCCAAAACTTCAGCTTTGACCTAAATCGCGAAATATTGAGCCCACGAAAAATAAGTCGTTTACAGTATATAGTTTTCTTTTTTTTTCATCGTTTCTTCAATCCAGTTTTATTTTCAGGTACCAAAATTATAAAATTATGTTATTTATTCTTACACAAGAAAGGAAAATCTACATTAACATACAAAACGTCGTGTTTATACCACTCAACATCCCTTCGTTTACCAGAGTCACATACATTGTACCTGAAACGAAATGTTTTCGCGAAGTGAAGTAGGTTGCCTAAAATACCCGTGATTGGTACAACTTTGTATCGCAGTATTAGATGTTGAATCGTGGTTTTGACCTTGAACTAAGGAATTGATTACAGTGAATAAAATCATGAAATGGGCACCTCGTCGCCATATATACCATAAAATGCGTTTTACGGAATACGTTTCACAATATATGTATGATGACGAGACGACTGAGCTTAAGGCAATATAATTATCAAAATGTCACAAAAGTCACGGGACAAGTCCTTCCAGTCTATATTTTATAGAAATACTAAGCGACAATCGCAATGCTTGTTTTTCTAACTAGCATTGCTTACCCATGTGAACATTTTCTTATAGTGAATAAACTGGCATAGCCTGGATGTTGAGGATTGCTCTTGACAAAATGCCGGTCAATTTAATTTGCAAATAAGCATCACCCTCGCTAATTAATGATTTTTGTTAAATAGAACAAAGTGGTATTTCATGCTCTACTCAATTCGGAAGCTACTTAATTGGACACTTTCTGAGAGTTTAAGTGTGCAATCGTCATAGTTCCACCATTCGTTCCAGTAAACAAAGGCGATAATAAAAACACATAAAAAACGCGATAATAAACTTCTATATATTTGAGAAGTTATATATGCGTGAGGAACACATATAGTTATTTAAATTAGCTTCAAAATAAAAAAAAAACATTATTTAAAGCTTTTCCAAATCACTTATTACGTGTCTATAGAGGATAAAAGCGCCGAAAACGATTTGCAGAACATCTTTCAGATAATTTAAAGGTGCATTTACTTATATATCTTTGAGGTGAGGATCTTCTATTTATGCTGCCAAATCTTCAGACAGGAATTAAGTATATTTTTATTATCATCGATAAATTTGACTTTATGAAGTTCACATAATCGCCTGAAACCGACACGGAAGGACGATACTCGAAAATACGCCAGCTGTTGAGTCTTCGGCAACGTGCTTTTGTTAGCTGTTTTGCAGTGTAAAATACTGGGTTGCAGGGTATGCCAAAAAACACTGTGGTCACATGATATATCGGAAGGCGAATACACAATATGTGCAGATTTTTTGAATCCTAATATGAAGCACTTTTGGGCATCAGCTTGCCTCAGCTCGAAACGTCGCGAGATACTACCTCGGGAGGCTAATGTTATCTTAGGTTTTACGTGCACTTGTTTTGGGACCTTACTTCACGACTCTGTTCTTTATCAGTCATGTGCTCCAATATTTCATTAGGCTGCCGTATATCATCGCGAGACTGCTATAAATACTACACAACTTTACACCTTGGACGTCTACTGCTAGTGTTGTGAACGTCGCATTTCACCAGAAAGCTGAAGTGTTTAGCATGGTTTGCACGTGACGTAATCGCACTAGATATACTGGTTGTCATTGCGAGTTCTTGCTGAGAAAATCAAATCCGGTGGGGCAAAATGCACGCTGCAAAAGTTTCGCGCTCAGTGCAAGCTATGTATTTGAGGGGAGGCATTCACTTCATCGAATGACGTTTCAGCGAACGCCCACGTTTCACCGAATGACACTTCAGCGAATAGTCGGACGCCGCGAAGCGGCGTTTTTGGTTGGGCCAAATGGGTTCACATTTTTGTAATGAGCCGCCGCAGACTGTCGCCGCGAAGCGGCGTAAAGCGCAGCGCGGCGGATGGGTTAACGCGCGCCCCCGTTATTCGCTAAAACGTCCATTCGCTCAAACGTCGCTGTTCGCTAAAACGTCATTCGCTCATGCGATATGGACCCGTATTTGAGAGGCACACCTTTTTCTTGTTGGTGCATCGTCGTTAGGCACGGCGCGAGTATCTGGCGCGACGAAAACGTGCTTTCTGGCAAGAGCGTTTTTACAAATAAAAGTTGTACCAACTACCCATCTGTCACTATCGTTTCCAGGCCACGCTTTATAATCTGCGCCGAAAATGCGGGGCAGAGGAATCTTTATGGCTTTAAAACAATCTCCCTCCCCACTCCCTTTTTTTTTTAGTTGCTCCTCAAGATACTTTTTATTACTCAGGGATTGCCTGCTCCGTATTGAGTGGTGTCATAGCCTCCTCTATACGGAGGCTTTGGTGGTGTTCACTCGACAATTATATTTGTGTCACTTGTTAACTGTAATTCTTCCTTGCTTTTACATTGCACCAAACTGTGAAGGTTAAACAAAATACAGGGCGGTCGAAACTTGGAGAACGTGAGAACGACACTCCTGTGAGACTTAGAGCGGCTGCCAACGTTCGGCTGTCCCCGTGAGGCCACTAGGATCTTTCTTTTCAGGTATCCCTCCCGTACACAGTAATAGTTCCATGTAACGTCGGACTAATACATCACATTTAGACCCTTTAACACTTCTGTTCTCGGGACAACTTTCTGAGGCAGTTCAGCAATAACGAGAACATGTTTGGGAGCCTCAATAGTGTGCATACATGTAAAATGGGTCGTGCAGCATTTTTTTTTACCTTAAGTTCAATAAATACCGCTAAGAGGTAATCCCTGACGTTGATGACTTGCAAAAGCATCCATTAGTTTGCCCCTCCGCGATATGGCAGACAGTTGAAAGAAAGAAATGAAACAGCTTTCCCCTCCTCAACTCGCAATTAGAACTATCAGCCACGTGGTCTGATCCTAATATATACACCGTCAGCGTTTATCATAGTCATACGCAGGGTTGGCAAAGCAGAGAGTATGGGCTGATCTTCAGATATAGTTTTAGTTGGGCTATAATGCCCGAGCCCCACTAAAGCGACAAAAAGAAACAAACGACAGCGGCTAGCCTTAAACCAGAGTATTTCTCGATTTGACAGGCTTTGTAGAATAAAGAAGGCTATGCTGAAACACGAGTATCATGCACACGATGGTAGCATTTGCAGGCTTGTAAACGCTCGTGCTAACTTCGCGAGCACCGAACAACTCAAAGCCGTATAAAGGTACCATCGCGAACATGCTGCATGTGTGTGAGGCTTGTCACTGTCGTTTGTTTCTGTTTCTGACTCTAGTGGGACTCGGGCCCATCGTAATCTTTGAGTTGGACACGAGCCGTTACCCGAATGTTTGGCGATGCTGGTTGTCATGAGCCAGAGCATTCAACTCGGGATCATGACAATCGGGTACATCACGGTGTCACGTGACTCTCAGTGCGAAGTTGTGATGTCATGTTACGTAACGGTATCAACAACGTTAATAGATCTAGCGACGTCCTCAATTTGAATCGACTTAACGCGGTGAGTCACGTGACGTCACGGGGTCACGTGATGTGACATTACTTGACAGCATGTCTTGACATCATGACGTCACGTGACGATGTGACACATGGCTAATCATAGTGCCAATAAGAAAGCGCCGCAAAAAACCAGGATTTATTATACATTGCAATTCTGTATATGACGATTTGATCAATACGTAGACGAATACACGTGCCAATTTTTTTATTCCCAAATAATAAATTTGTAATACGAACAAAAAAAAATACCGTGAACCGTTTTGAACCGGTTACCGTTATATTTTTTTCCGGTTCAGTTCCGGTTCAGTTCCAAGATGGCGGCGAAGATTTCGGTTCGGTTCAGTTCCGGTTCGGCTAAAAATAACGGTTCTGTTCCGGTTTTCGGTTCGGTTCGGTTCCGGTTCGACACCCTGGAATTACCCTTTGCCAAGGTTGTCCCATGCTGCATGCTATTTTATATGTATTTATAAAACCTGGAAGCCTTATGAATTGCACTTCAAAAGGAACTACCTTTGACCTACTACAAACGTATGCAACATACAGTGAAACCCGTTTAGAACGAACCCACGTATAAAAAATTATTGTCGATATCGAACCCACCAAAAATTTTAATAAAAATGGATGAAAAAAGTACTTTTTATAGCGAACAACACATTGGCTATGCTATATCAAACTTTTTTTTCCCGGGAAGGCTTCCAAAAACGTGCAAACAATCGTCTTTTAGCCCCCCCCCCTCCCCTCCCCCCCCCCCCCCCCCCCCTCCCTCCCTCCCTCCCTCCCTCCCAAAAAAAAAGTAGGAAAAAATGAAAACTCCAAAAGCTGAAGCTGCAAACAAAATTGAGCGAAGAGAAGCAATTCAGAAGGGGAGAAAGCTAAAAAAAAAACACTCTGTGCAGTGCGCACATTAAAAACTTTTCATCCCAAAGCATGCATCTCTATTACCACGAAGAAAAGCGATTCAGAAGGGGAGATAAGCTAAAATAACAAAACCTGCACGCATGCAAAAAACAGATATTAAGAAAAATAATTACAGCGCGTTGTTCAAAGGCCGCGGCAAAGAGATGAGAAAGAAAGATAAGCTCCCGCCTTACAACAGAAGCATCGTGAAAGTTTGTTGTAAATGTTTTTGCTATATCGAACTGATCGTAGTGTTTCCTGCCGTTTCTTTATAAGGGGGTTTGACTGTAGTACTAACCTTGTGACTTGTTCCTTGAAAGGGCAAAGTTGACTTTCTTCTCTCCTTGAAAAGACAACGAAAACTTTTCTGTTGGTGCCATCCGTTTCATTCTCTGCAAAATACAAAGTAACCTCAGTCCCCGATACATGCCAAAAGGGGCACAAAAACAACAAAAAAGGAACAAACAACATACATATGGCTTCTCCGATTGCACTTTGCTGAGGCATTTGCGAAAGACGGCAGCAGTTGGGGTGCTCACTTGGAACTGCCCCCTTTCCGCCTCAGTGCTTTGTGTAGCCGCAGGTGACCCACTCTCGGGTTTGATTGAAAATATTGGTCCTTTAGCATCCAATCTTTTCGTGAGCGTGATCAAGGGAACCCGCTTTCTTTCAGCCGTCTCGGTTCCCGTCAAACCAACCACCTTGGGAGATTCTGTCTTCGGCTCGAAAGTGTCAGGAGTTCCGTTAGGCACCTGCTCCTGCTTTCTCTTTAGTGCCTCCTGCTTTCTCACCTTCCTACTTTTCTTTGGTCCCAGAGATACACCAGCATCCTTGCTTTCAACTTTGGCTGGCAAGGCAGAACCATTCTTTTTTGTCGCCTTCAAGTTGCAAACAACCGCAAAGCCTCCCTTGTTCTTCAGGATGGACTTCTTTCGAGGTGCCTTGCCTAGAACAAGTCTCTCCACCTTCTTGCCAATGTAAAGTTTCTGCTTCTTCCCAGGAAAACCCGAACCCATGCCATTTACCCCGGACTTCTTTGCAACTTTTTTCGAAATTCCTTCGCCGATGTCGTGCTCCGACGAGCCAGTTGCCTCGACCCCTTGACCACTGTCAGAAGTAGCCGGTTCTGCGCGGATTTTCCTCCTACGCTTTCTCGCCTTTTTCAAGCTTTCCGGTTTGTCGCTGCCCAAATCGTCACCCACTCGTTCCATGCTCCCGCCCCGTTTCCTCTTACTTTTTGACACTCTGTTCTCCAAGAGAGCGCCGATCTCCCTTTCGGCTTCGTCTTCGCGCGAGCATTCCTTCCCCTCCTGGCCAGTCTCGTCTAAACTCGAAGCCTCCGGTACAGCGAACTTCCGCAACCTCCTTCGTACTCGCTTCTTGGGTGAAGCCTTCTTGGCTTCCAAGGGTTCCTCGTCGGAACTGACGCCGCAGTTCTCTTCGTCAAGTGGAACAGCACGAGCCCCACGTTTCTTTCGCTTCTTTGCCTCAAGGGAGGACGATTTTGGTGCTTCCTCGTTGTCCTCCGTCGTGTCGTTGTCCGCGTCGGACTCGCTGCCAGATTCGCCGTCGTCGTCAGAACCTGCTCGTTGGTACTCGTACGCTCCGCTGGTCGAGTCGAACCCAAACTGGGCATCTGCTGCTTGCGAACGGCCTTCCTTCAGCTTCTGCAGCTCCTGCCTCTCCCTCTCCAGCTCCTCCAGCCGCTCCTGTTCCAGCCTTATCGCAGCGTCGTCTACCTCCTTCTCCGTGATGATGTCGCCCTGGTCGTCGTCCGGAGCGGGCGGCTTGAGGAGCCCCTCTTGGAGGATGCTCCGATACCTGAACAACAAAAGTCGCCCGACTTAGACATTCTGTCAAAGGCGAAGAAGGTGGGACAGTGGACAGTGTGTGGTTCCTACCCTACTACGCAGCCCTCACGTTTGTACGCAGCAGAGGAGAGCAAAGTGTTGGTGCATTGCTTACCTCTTGGCACGTGGTGCTCTACTCAACGGAGCATGGTTGCACCTGTGCTCCGTTGACGACACCCTCTCCGATAGTCGCTTAATGGTATGACCAACACTGACACCACAAACGAGGTTTGTGCAGGATTTCCATATAAAGCTATTGCCTCAAAATGCCAAATGATCCCTTGACATCACTGCAAGCTAATATTTTAACCAGGGCGTCAACCAGAACCGAACTGAATCGCTATTTTTAGCTGAACCGGAACTGAACCGAACCGAAATCTTCACCGCCATCTTGAAACTGAACCGGAACCAAACCAAACAAAAAAAATATAACGGTAACCGGTTCAAAACAGTTCAAGGTGTTTTTTTTTTCTTTTTTGCTAGTATCACAAAATTAATACACGGGAATAAAAAATTGGCAGCTGTATTTCTATCTTTTGATTAAATCGTCATATACAGAATTCCAATGTATGATAAATTGTGAGTTTTCGTGGCGCTTTTGTATTGGCACTATGATCAACCATGCGTCACATTGTCTCGTGACGTCATGGTGTCAATACATGCTGTCAAGTAATATCACGTGACCCCGCGACGTCACGTGACTCACTTCGTCAAGTCGATTTAATTTGAGGAAGTCGCTAGATGTATTAACTTTGTTGAAAACGTGACGCAACATGAAATCATGATTTCGCACCGAGACGTAAGCGATTTTCATAACCCTGAGTCTAGTGCTCGGGTTCATGACAATCAGCATCGCCAAACGTTCGGGTAAAGGCTCACGTTCAATTAAATATGGCAATACCCCAACTCTAACAATATCTGAAGCTCAGCCTAAGCTTTTGCTTTGCAAACCCTGGCTCCGATACCTATGACTATGACGAACACTGACGGTATATAACTAGCGTCAGATCACATGGCCGCTTGTTCCAATTGCGAGTTGAGGAGAAGATAGACAGCTGTCTCTTTCCTTTATTTTTTCTGCATCTGCTATTGCGCAGAGGGGAAACTAATAGATGTCTTTGCAAGCTATCAACATCAGGGGTTACTTCTTAACAGTATTTACTGAAAGTACAAAAAATGTTGCACAACCAATTTTACATTATTGAGGCACCAAAATATTTTTTCGTTCTTGCTGAACTGCCTCGGAAAAATGTCCTCCATGGGAACAGAAATATTTGAAATGACGAAATGTGACTATTGTCCTTCCGTGTCAGTCTCAAGCGGTTATGTAAACTTTATGAAGTAAAATTTATTGACCATTATAAAAATATATTTAATTATTAACTGAAGATTTGACAACATAAATAAAGGGTAAAAGCAATGCCTCCATCTCCCCCTTGCCCCAATTATCTGAAAGGTGCTCTGCAAACCTTTCCTGGCGTTTTTATCCCCGACAGGCACGTTGTAAGTGATTTGAGACAGCTTTACACACATTTCTGATTTTGAAGCTAACTTGCATAACTATGTGTTCCTCACACCTATTACTTCTCAAACATATAGGAGTCTATTATAAACTCTTTTATGTGGTGAACATTACTTTTATATGTCTGTGGGCTGTACAAAAGCGAAGTACACAGGGGCGCACGGTAGAACTATGACGGTTATGCACGCAAAAAGTCAGAAAGTGTCAAATTAAGTAGCTGCAATGTCGAGCAGGACATAAAATACTACTTCGTTTTACTAAACAAAACAATCTTGAGGAAGCTGAACCTTCGTCTTTAAAAAATAAATGCGATACATTAACGGGCCTCGTTCGCATCACCTTCGCATTCGCCGTACAAGCATGCCTCGCGTGGCCTATACTCTGTTTCACCTTATGATATACCGCAGGAAAGGCTACGAGCGCGAGCTCCATGCTCAGGGTACATCTCATCGGCACAAGCTCTCGCGCAATGATAGTAGCTGCAAATGCTATGAGCTCGCGCTTCTAGCCTTCGCTGCGGTACAACACAAGGTGAAACGGAGTATAGTCGGGAGCGTGTCTGACTCGCAACCGAAGGGTCGAGAGTTTGAATCCTGCATAAAGTTCTTAATTATTTTTTCCTTTAAGACAAAGGAATTACTTTGTATAAAGTGAAATCATTTTAGACATACGGCGACCTTTAATTAACATTGTAGGTCTTGTTTTAATCACTTTCATTCCACGCATGATGTAACGTTTCCTGTGAGCATTGTGGGTTGCTTGAAATTCCTGCACGAGGGCATGTTGCTGTGACGTCATGACCCTATCGACCAATCAGGATTTTCCAGTCACGCCACCGACATTGGCTTTTCTGCGACATGAGCTCCTTAATGCTATCGCATTAAAATCATAAATTAGCAAGGGCAATGCTCATTTGCAAATTAAATTGACCGACATCTTGTCAAGAACAAACCTCAACAGTCAGGCTATGCCAGCTTATCCTGTATAAAAAAAATGTTCACTTGTACAAGCACTATTTTAGGCCAGATTCGATCTGAGTGCGAGGTGCGTATAGATTAGAGTGAACAATTTCGATTACTCCTTTGTGCATGATAAGTCACATGAATCGCGGTGCTGAGTGTAAACAATGTTTGGTTAGAAAAACAAGCACTGTGATTGCCGCTCGGAGTTTCTATAAAAATAGACTGAAAGGGATTATCCTAAAACTTTCGTGACATTTTGAAAATTTCATTGCTTTTAACTCAGTTCTGTCGTCCTTATATACAGGGTGTTTCAGAGAACTCAGGCCAAATCGCTCCAGCAAAAACTACTCATCGCAAAGAAAAAAGGCTTGTGTCGTTTTGGTCCTGGGCCAGGGGCCCATTTAGGAAAATTATTAAAGTCTGAGATAATTAGGTTGTTAATTATTTTTGCGTAATTAACTTCTTTAATATTGTGTTTAACGGCATGGTTTAAATTAGAAAATTGCTCAGCATGGTCAAAAAACACTAAATCAACAAACTGCAGAACGAGGGAAGGCACACGAAGCATTTTACGGCTTTCTGAAAAACCGCACAAATTTGACGGGTTTTTAAGTTTCGGCTTGCTATCGGAGAGCATCTGGGCGCCGGCGGCACCGCGCCTGTGGAAAGATAGTGCAACCCGCCTCTGCTGCGTCGCGCGATGAGAGCACAGCAGAGGTACTTAAACGTTTTGATTCAAGTAAAATATATCTGACTGGTAAACAAAGGGATCTTGAGTCGTATGAACACGACGTCATGTATTTTAATGTAGATTTTTTTTTTTTACTGTTGCCTCGAAATTAAATAACTAAATTTCATATTTTTGGTATCTGAAAACAAAAGTGAATTGCACGGATGATACAAGAAACTATATAGTTAATAGCTTGGTGGCGTAAATAGTGTCTATTGCCAGAACAATGCGGAAAATATATTCCCAATTTAGCAATTCGAACCGGTTTGAAGCATTATGTTTTGCTCCCCGGAACTGAACTTGAACCGAAATCTGTAAACTCGAATCCGGACCGAACCGATAAAAATTTCGGTTCGACACTCTAATTTTAACCAAGTTCTTCTACTCTGATACTAAACTAGACATCTTCATTAAAAACCTCGGTGTAAGGTACATTTACCTACATTAGGACACACAACACTGCGAATGCTGTAACACAATTGACTAGACAAAGCCCCACTGGCACGCGTCCAAGTAGCCTCGGCCGACAGCACCTCCGCCATCCAAACAATGCTACAAAAAACAACAGAAGTATCTCATTTCCAAGGCATTTGGTCGTGCACCTTTTTTGCCTAGAGCGTCTGCTTCGACCTTGAGGGACGCTGGCTTGAACACCGCACCAGGGATCTCTTAGCTTCAACGCGGCCATAAAAATGCTATTGCTGCCGTTGAGGCCCCAAAACTAGAGTCAATGACGACACAGTGTGCAAGCAAAATGCGTGGCGCAAGTGCCAAGTTCTAAATGGCAAGGCGCACCCGGAAAACAACTTTTAAAAAAAGTGCTCCTCTCATAAAGCGTGGGAAACCCGGCCCGTGACAGGCTGCCATTGGCCACACATCGAGGAGCCATCTGACGGCACCGCTTTCCACCAAGGCGAGAAGAGGACTTCATCTGGAAGCTCCAACGTGCACAGCGTCCACACTTATATCTTACACCGTAATAAAAACAAACACAGTACCATAAAAAAAAAAAAATGTTTTTTTTTTTTTTGTTTTTTTTGCGTAAAAGAAGCCTCTAAGTTGGTTGTGGTTTTGAGGGAGACATATGTAAAGTGTGTCTCACTCGAAACCACAACCAACAAAAATGGAAGTTAAAGATGAGAGCCACATCCTTGGCTAAATAATGGTTCTGAAATGGCCACAGTGCGCTGCCACATCAGCCCAACGGTACCAAATGTGCGCAGAAAATTACATCAAAAGGCTGAGCGTACTGCAGCCTTTCGGTTTTCGTAAAATTCATTAGAAGGCCATGCTACCTTATGCATACCTCTTATGAGCACACCAAGATGGCACTGTTTTGACAGATGACCAAATCTATAAAGCATGAGCAGTGCCTGAAGTTTACTCACTTCTTGACAAGCCGCGTGATGACCAGACGGTTAGCCGGCTTGAGAGCATGCCGTTTGGTGCACTCGAACAGCTTGTTTGCTATCCTCTCGTAGTCAAACTGCAATGAGAAAGACGAACGAACATGAGAGGAAGAATGCTCCAACAATAGGGGATTCATTACGATGAATTGCCTAACAACGTAAAGAAAAATCTTCGCAACCTCAGCACTTGCAGTGTGTAGCAACGATACTCCACTGCCAACGTACCGAAATAAAAGTGCACCTGATGTCAAATCACCCACCTCGAAAGGAGGAAAATCATACTTCTGTCATAATACAGGCATACTTTTGCCAGATTCCAATGAAGTGTGGTTGTAAAAACAGCCAGGCAAACTCCTGGGAACAAACAGCCCAGTACTCACAACACCCTGTGCAGCTGCCAACAAAACATAGGATGACAAGAGATTAGCATGACAAGAGATTAGCATTCAAAGTACAGTCATGTCTCGCAAAATGACCAACCTGGGCTGAGAAAACAAGCTCTCAGGAGTAATATAATCAAAAAGGACTGGCCCTTTGTTCTTGAAGAGACGGAAGCAGAGGCAATGCTAGCTCAGAGAAACGGTTCTGACCCGGAATGCTTCCCTAGCTATCTGTGCCGCTTTCTTCGCCAATTCAAGACTAAGGGCAGTCCTTTTATGATTGTATTGCATTAATATGAATACCCTGATATGCAGACCGAATTTACCGAAATGAACTGGGTAAATACGGGCATTTGTGTCTCATTATTTCTATTGATTCATATTACGAATGGTTTTTAGGGGGAACGGAGATGGCGGTTTAACGAGAGGACTGTAATCTGACGAACAATGCGAATCCTCAAAACAAAGCAAGAGAGACGTGCCATGAATCACGGCTGGGCGGCAAGAGATCACTTACCCCTCAACCGTTTTGGAAGTGGTGACATCCCTCAAACCGTTCAGGACGAGCAATATGGGTAGAAACTGAGGGAGAGGATGAGATGAGAGTGTACGGAGATGTCAGAACACCGTGTTTTGTTTGGAATGATTAGTGGATAGGTGCATAAAGCCAGCTTCCATTGTCTCCACTCACTGTTCAAAAGTGACCGCCAAATGCCAGCGTTCGAAGGTGAATGAAGGGCGAGTAGAGACGAAGGCAGCCAACCTTGAGTGCCTACCCACTAATCATTCCAACCGGAGCCCGGTGCTCTGAAGTCCACGCGCGCTCTCCTCTCCTCCTCTCCCTCATTTTCTACCCACGTAGCTCATCTGCTCTCCCTGGTTTATGAGCTTGACCGTTTTGGACGGTGCAGGCTTACTCCTGGCTTAGTTTACGGCTCAACCTAAGGGCCACACCGACTTTTCTTTTTAAATTTTGCTTTTACTTTGTTAGTGCCTAGAAATTTGATTTTGAAAGCACCAACTTCGATGTTGAATACAACAATTATAAGCAGTTGAGGGTCACAAATACCCAAGAACTAGGAATGGGTAAGTAATGCGTCGCAAATTAGGAACTCTCAAGACGGCTCGCGAGAAGCGTGTTGGGACCCACGGGAATGGCGGGCAGGTCCTGCGACGACTCGCCCTTCTCCATGACTCGGCCGTGCTCGTCGTAGGTGTCCTCCTCCTCGTCGCTGTCCTTCTCCTCTCCCTCTTCGTCCAAGTTGGGGACCTCCCCCTCCTGCTCCAGCTCGGCAGCCTCCCGGTCCAGGTCGATCATCAGGAAGAACACGTTGTTCCTCACAAATTCCACCAGGGTGCCACTGTGCAGGGAAGAGTATGAATGGTCCCAACTCTGCAATCACAGACAGGCTGAGGACGGCAGGAAGGGATTTCGTATGTCCCGCCACCAGCCCGAGCGTACTGCCTTCGAAGATGCTTCGGCATTTCAAGAGCCCCGAGCGTGCACACGCAGCAAAAGCATGGCGGAAGGCAACGAGTATGTCCGAAAAAGATGCTCTGCCGGCCTCGCATTGTCAGAGACTATACACTAAAACCAGCGAAGATTTCACACTCGTAAGTCGGCAAAACTGCCAGCTATAGTAATCTGTGCTCGATAGCCAAAGGCGTCTACACTAAAATCATATAAAAAAAGGTGCTTTCGAAAAGTTCTTTAAAACTTTTCCTTGGCACTGACAGGTCACGCTGTGACCCTGTGACGTAGTGGCAAAGTCTCTAGAAACTTGCAAATATTAAAAATTTTCATAATTCAGAAATAGTTATTTGGTTTGCAGCATACTTGTACTGTTCAAAGTATTCGAGATTTTCCAATACTGTAAACGACTTAATATTCGCGAAGGCCTAATTTTCGCGAATTTCGTGAAAATTAGGCCTTCGCGATAGATAGGTCTTGCGAACAAAACCGGTAAAATGTAAACACATTGGAATCTATACTGAGGTCCTACCGCGTCGCGAAAAATAGAACTATGCGAGTTATTTGAAAAGTTCAGCTTTGGACTAAATCGCGAAATATTGAGCCCGCAAAAAATAGGTCATTTACAGTATTCAAAAAGTGTAAATAATGTTTTCAGACTCCTATGGTTTTTCACACCGAGCTTCACTGCTTTGCACCAGTGTGTTGGGTGAAACAAATGACAAGGCAGAGCAACTCAGCTGGCTCAATGGTCTCAGAAATTTTTGTTTTAATTATAAAACTGGAAGGTTTTTCGCGTCAAACCAACAAAGGCCGTCTAGCATGCCCCAGCTAAGGACTGGGGATTAATATCGACCACCTGGGGATCTTTTGACGTGCACCTGAAGTCTTGCAATAGCCCCAGTCAGATTGCAGGCACCTTAGTCGAGATTTAAATCCGCCGACTGGGGATTCGTACGGTTATAATTATAGCCCGACTCTTGTTCTTAAGATGCTGCAGGGAAAAAACCCTCAGGTTGTATTTAAATAAATAAAATAGTCATTGCTTACTTGCGATGTCATATTATGCTTTATCCAACCCATCTCATAAGGGCCTTATTGTTTCATACATGTAAAATGTTTTGCATGTAAAAAAACTGTTCTTTCTCATAGGTAGGCTTTCTAGAAAACATTTCCAGCTGAGATTTCTTACAGTACCCAAGCTCAATTTACAATAAATATAAAATATTAAAATTCAATTCACAGTAAAAAATTTGATCTCTTTTGAGGTGAACTGCAGTTATTCCCACTTCCTGACAAAGCTTATGCAACACCCAAATATTAAAATTCAATTCACAATAAAAAATTTGATCCGTCTTGAGGTGAACTGCAGTTATTCCCACTTCCAGACAAAGCTTATGCAACACCCAAAAGGAGCGATGTCCCAACATTTGTTACACACGCATCAGTCTGATTTGTCTCTCAAATTAAATATTGCACACATAGAACTCTCTAAACACTTGTCCCTTGCAGAGTCAAAAAAGGAAGTGGAATAATAAAAAAAAAAGGTCCACATACTTCCTCAACTCCACTTCAAAACTGTAAAAAAAAAGCATATTAACTTAGAGAGATTAAATGTGACTGAAGTATAAAGCGCATAAGTCGTACTATCAGACTATGGGACAGCAACTAAACCTTGGAAGTGATACAACTAAATTATGAGAGGACTTACGCCGGCGAGTCTGTAAGGATGTCGAAGAAGGGCTGCAGGAACAGTTCCGCCTGCTCCGAAGTCAACTGTAACAACGTAAGGCAACAAGAAGAGCTGATGCAGTTTGTGCCATAGATCAAGTGAGGTTTTTTAGTCAAACTCTTGCTTTGTCCACCCACATACAACACGAGAAATAACACTCAATTTGGTTTTTTGCTATGACTGCGGTCACCCCTCTCCCCATCACCTTTCAATCTGTCGAACAGTCTCGAGACTAAGACCTAAACTTTTAAGTTATAGCCTTAGTTTGGGCCAGAAAATCTTTTGAAGACTGGCCAGTGCGTTAAATGAGCATGGTGCAGTCCCCACTCGCATACTGTTTGCGATAGTACATTGTTGACCAGAATAATCTGGTCCTCACTTATACAGAACTTCCCGACTGTCCATTTCGATCTGGATGAGCATCGTAGCGGCGTGTGGCCGCGCATCTCTACTGCGTGATGCTCGTCGAAGACCCCAGGCTAGCAGTGGTACTGTACTGGCCAAATTTCTCATCTACAGCAGACACCAGATGTCCACTGGGGCTGGCTAACTTCCTGCTGTCTAAAGAAACAGCCAACACAATCACTTGGTATCTATACATACTATGAACTAATCCTACTTCCAGACAAAGAATAAGTTCTCTATTTTCTTCCTGGGTGTGGTATGCCTAGGGCACCCCCGAAATCTGCTTTTTACATTCTGTGCATACAGCAATGGAGAACAAGACTCTGGAATGAAAATGTTTGCCTTCCACTCACCTTTCCGCCGTGCACCCTGGACAGTTCCTGCAGGAAAATGTCCACGACGTGCATCTTCAGCCCCAACGGCACGTCTCTGCGGCTCGGATGGAGGGCTGTAGCCTTGAGGACATCGCAGAACTCCACAATGTTCTCATCGTTCCACTCTCCCGCATACGCCAACACCAGGCCTTGGCGAAAGAAGCGTCGCACCAACTGCGGGGACACCAGGCCACTTTGAGCCCGCAATGTCATAACTAACGTTCTGCTTCAAAGAGCACCCGCCAATGCTCGCCAGTTTAAGGTCGAAACAACGGGGTGGAGCTGGGTATGGGGTTTTTGTGAGTTTCAGAGAATTAACAAACACCAGCTCGCCATAATTAGTGGTCCTTAAACTTTTTTAACGCAGAATCCGTTATGTGACTGGCTCCTAACAGCTTTTTCGAACATGCCTCTATAACAAAAGAGCACTGTACGAAAACGGGTTAAATGAGAGCGCTGCCTTGGTGGTCAGTTGGAACTTGTGTCCTCACTGAACGTAGCCGAAAACTGACGCAGCACTTTGTGTCCCTTCTGTGTCACATGCTGGCCTCTGGTGGGCAACATAGAAAATCCAGCACAGGAGTCATTGAGTGAGTGTACTTGCACATACAGTGGGAGAGTCCAGTGAACAAGCATACGCTTCAAAGAAGGTGAGAGACACGAAATAGCAGGGTCGAAATCGGGGTGTGCAGCCGCACAAGACGCAAACTTTGAATTCCCCTCTCGTCGAAGCATTCTTTCAGAGACGCTAAGCCCGATCGTGTTTGCACCGTCAAGGCAAAAGTTGCGCACAAAGTTTGTCTGTGCAACATCCACCGTGAAGCAGCACGGAATATCCCGGGTTATCACTGAATTTGACACGACGCCCGAGTCAAAATTTGGTCTTCCAAACAAAGAGGTTTCGTATGCTCACATGACACAAACAATACACCAGAAGTAGTTAATAGTACATGCCCTGCAAGTAACGTTATGGCACCTTACCAGCCCCCATTGCTCCGTGCCATGCTCCTGTGCACCGAGAAGAACAAATTCGATGGTGCGAAATGTATGCTGCACGAGATAACAAGTGGAACTCGTGAAACGTACTTGGGAGCAGCAACGGGAGCAGCTGAAACAGCTGGTTTGGAGCAGGTTGGGAGCAGCTAAAACTACGTTCTGGAGCAGGCTAGGAGCAGCTCAGATCAGTTTTCATTGCACTTCAGCTTGTGTCTTAGACAAGCACGGGAGCAATTTCAGTCGTGCTTAGCAGCACAGATGAACATGAGTGGTTAGGAACCTAGGTAGATGGGATAGCAGTGTAACAAATGCGAAAACTTGAAACTTTATGAGCCTTAATGAGAATCAAAAAGCAATCAAGTACCCTATGTTTCTGAAGATAGCGCCTTTGATATTTTCCGAGTGGCTTTCAGCTGCTCAAAATGCAAGCCAGCACTGCTTATTGTACAACCCACTGTGCTCGACATAGTAATTATATGTGCGAACCACGTGACGTGCATAAGCAACGGACGTGCAATTGCACGGGGGAACAGGGAAACAAATTTCGAGTTTATCCTATTGAGCAACTCGATATTGAAGCAGCAGACTGCGATTAACGAAGTTATCGTATTTGAAGTGATAAGCAGGAGCAAGGTTAATGTACGCCGAGTAGATCTACCACTCACGTAAGAGCTGCTGGCCGGCAAGGTTTTGGATCGGACCGCGTTTCAGTTCTATCAAATCATGATTTATCTTGCGTTAATGCGGTTCCAACTTCTAACGGTGAAGTACTAAAAGGAACATTTTGCTCATTTGTTTTCAAATGGCTGACGTCCGGATCCCGGGCCGCAGAGCCTCAGGCAATCTGACGCTTAATGACTCGACCTCACCTCAGCCGACTTGCTTAACTGCTTATGGTTGAAGAATACAATCCAGTCGCAGGTGGTATAGTGTTTAGAATCCGAGTTTTTTCGCGCGCGTCCGACTCGGGATACACAGGGAGAATAAACAGAACAAAGGATTGCAAGGCCGACCAGGCTAAACGCGCTCATTGTTGCCAGTCGAGTCAATAAAACTGAAACCAAGACAAAATAAAAAGATTTTTGGCGCACGTTTTGCGATTTGGTGCATAATGGCACGAGGTATTGGCTTTGGCGCAGTTTCTGCAACATGGCGCAAAATGGCGCAGCCGTTCCACCCCTGGATACGGGCACAAGAGCATGGTACGGAGCAATGGCAGCTAACGTGGCGTCAATGCAAGCCATGTATATCGAGATTTGTTTTACTTTTTTTCTAATCAACAACAAAAACAACAAATTTAAGCGAATGACTCACCATCATGAACTTTTCGAGTCGGAACCTGTCAATGGCAAACCACTCATGGGCCATTGTCTTGAAAAATGTGTCAATGAACAGGAGGGCCTGGCTGCGTTGAGCGAAGCAGTGGATCAGACCGGCAATGTTGTTCGCCAGATCTTGCTGAAAACGACAGAACAGAGACTTGAAACATACAGAACATCATCCAGGGCCACGAACAATTCGTGTGAGCATAGTGATCTCTGCTAACCAATCCTGCGACCAGACAGTGATCTAATAAACCAAAATGGGGATCTTACTTGAACGAACGGTTTGTCTGACATCCACATACAGAAGAACAGTCCTTTCCATAGCTTCATCAGGGCTTCTTCCGTGAATTCTGCACATGAGAAGAAAAAGAGATCTGAACACAAAGCAGTTCTACTACAGCTCAGACAATATACGCAACGAAGATTCCCTAAAGATAAAATCAATTCGATTTATCAATATCTTATCACCCATCCAAATATAAACATCGAAATATATACTCGTGACTGCAAATAATGCTAGTCGATTCAATCCCGAAAACACGCGTGTTCGCAAAATCTCGAACTCGGGGGCCGAGAACGCCGCTTGCTTACCTGTGTCTTCTCGGGCAGACTTTGCTCGTATCCATCTTGTGAGCTTTCTCAGGGCTCTGTCCCTCGTTACCTTTTCATTTGCCGCTAGATGATGGGCGAAATGCACTTCTTGCGTTACTGTCATCCTGACATTTGCTCAGCCGCTCAGTACAGCATGTACAGCGAAGCCAAACGCGCACGCTGATCAATTGGCTTGGCTTGGCGTGGCTTGGTATTTTTGGAAAAGTTGGCTTGGTAACTTGGCCTAAGCTTTTTGGCTTTTCTACATGAACTATATATTTTAAAAAATTAATCAGGCATTATATAAGTTTTCCGCGTTGAACTTACTTTTCTTTTGAAGAATTGCTAGAAAAAGAAAGATATTTGCAATCACAGAACCCACAGAAGACCGGCGACTAGAGAAAACTTCGGCGCGCACTTTATTCGATGAAATTTGGTGACGTCACGACCAATAGGAGCACGGAAACAGACGCGGTCTCCTCAACGCCCGGAGCCCCGGAGAAACCGGAGAAACATCGGAAACATCGTGCCTGACGAACCGTCGTCGAACGAAAGGTGAGTGGTTTGAGTTTTCCTGTGATGTGATCTCTATGTGTGTTCGTTCCACGCGTCCGAGCTGTTTCTTCGTTTCAGATCTATTTGGCGCCGCTGCCTACATTGTTTGAGCCTGCGTTCACGATTAAAACAACAATCGCAGAAAGCTGAAAGCCCGCCGAAGAACGGCTGACTTGCGAGCTAAACCTAATTCAACAAAACCATTTGATCCGAATGAATAATGTGCTTGATCTTACATTTCATGTCAACAAAGAACTGCGCTGCCTGTCTTCGTCCCTACATGTTTTATTCTTTTCAAATCTTTACCAACCCGCGTCCAATCGAATGCCCCGATCACAACAAATAGTTGGTCGTGCTCCGATGGCCCTTATTATCAGCCGGTAAGGCAGTTACATTTTTCGTTTCTATATTTTGACCCAAGTAACGTCATATTCTCAAACTGAAATTCTATCACCACCTCTAGTTTCACATTCTGGTGCACCGTGCACTTGCAGCTTCCTGCACCCCTGCGAGGTTTCCTGCGATCGTACCCTGTATATTATGGATTTCTTGCCGCACGCGAGTGCTCTCGAAGGCGTGCTATACACTCTGTAGCATAGGTTGTGTGCAGAAAAGGCACAGGCCCGAGCACAAAAGCGCCCTTTTTGCACGAGCAGCCGTGCTAAATGAACATTCTGCGGAGCTACGCACTCGCACCCGTGCCTCTGCTGCACACAACTTATTAATAACCGAGCCGTTCTCGTTTTTGTTTTGCATATTACTGTGAAAGAAGTGTCATTGTTGTTTTCTTCTCAAACAAAACTCACGTGCTAGACAAAAGCAAACAGATAGGAGTCTGCACATTCACACCCTTTTCTCCCTTGTGCGACAGGTTATAGCTGGTCGCGATTCAACACCGTTTCTTTTGAAGCTGATGGGCACCACAAGGCGTGAAAGAGGTGACTTGCAGCTTTGCCAAGGCAGCAGCAAGACACTACAAGCCTTCGCATTAACTGGCTAGCCAGTGCCGCTCTGTTCTGAACAGCACTGCGTGCCGTGCAGAGGGTTTGTGCAAGCTCGCTGGGTGGCGACGCTAGCCACGGCAAGTGCATCCTATGCAGCTTTCTTTTAGAGATATATGTGGCTTGCAGGCCATGTCGTGCATGTGCCACCCGAGGGACAGCAGTGGCAAGGCTGTGCTGATGGTAATCACCACTGCACTGTGTTTTCATTCAATAACTACTGAAAAGGAACCAGGTACTTCCGAGAGAGTCTCGGTTGTGCTTTGATGAACTTCAGGTCGCTTATGGACTTGATGTCTGTGTTAACAATGCAACGAGACTTCTTTTTAGTTTGGGGCGTTGTTTCTGCTGCGGATGACTAGCGTTGCAGTAGAGAAATATGCAAAATAGTGTAATGCTTGCAGTAGTTACCTAAATTAATGGCGGGAATAACTGACCTACATTTCCACCGACAGCATTTCTCAGAGGAATAGCCTGGACTAGATAGCTCGCTGCACTATGTCCTTCCTCCTTAGCCTGTACAACTCGGCGTCTTTTCCTGATTGTCTTATGTGGCTGCTTCTGTGTTTGCCTAGGCACTCGGTTGAAATAGTGAAAGCTGTCTGCATCGCACATAACTGCCATGAAATCCAGTGTGGACGTAGCTGGGGTAGCTCCCAATATGGCTTCTCTAGCTCGACACAAGTAATGTTCCTACCACTGTCGTGTATGATGCCAATCCAAGATTGAAATATACTTGTGCGTTTCATTGCCGTGACGTCAAGCAGGCACATAGTCAGGATTTTGTTTTGGGGGCGGCAGCGGTGGGCCGGGCCGGGCCGAGCTCCATGAACCTCCTCTAGTTACGTGCTTGCGTCACGGGATGGGACAGTCTCACGGTTCGAGCGGCTGTGTAGAAAGGAACTATGCCCAGCATTTGGCTGGGCATAGTTCCTTCTTTATGAGCACCGGTGCACTGCGGAGAAACAACACTTGTGAAAGCACGCTCCGCAGGTATCGCTTCTCTGCGGTGCACCGGTGCTCGGACAGAAGCACACTCAACGGGGCCGCGAGAGCAAAAAAAAGATATGAATTAAGCGTAAACGCCATTCGGATTAAGCGGCTTATAAATACATTAAAAACATAGCGGGACAACCAAAGTTTTCAAATCTGTTTGAATTGTCCGGAAGTGCAAAATATCCAAGCTTCAATTATTGTGAGCCTATTGTATCAATCACTTTCTGTAGCAACTTTGCGCTTAAAATCGCAATACAATGATTTTTAGGCTAAATTCATTTTTTCGAACTGCTCGATTATTCTGAGTTTTGCACTATCCCCATCGAGTACGAAATATTGGTCGGTGACTATCAAACTTAAACACAATGGTTACACACCACAGGTCCCGAGGACCATGACATCAATGAGCTGGCTTTCACCTTGTTCAAGGCAGCAGCGGAACACTATGGGCGGGACCCTCGGTCGACGCACCGGCCGGCTCATGGCTGCTGTCCTGTACCCTGCACGGCACTGCATGTGGCTTAACTGGCCAAGCAGAGGGTCATCGCATGACTTTTATGAGGCGTTGCTAGCCATTGTAAGTATATTTTTTGACACTCATGTCTGGTGATGTACTTTGGTGCTGTACAACGGAACACATTTGGTGGCAGTTCAGTCTTGCCAATTAGGCCATTTTGAAACGGAACACATTTAGTGGTGGCTCGGTTTAGGTTTCCTGGCTTGGCAATCTTGCAGCAGTGTCTAGACTCAACACAAACCTTTTTGTACTTCATTGTCAGGGATAGTGTAATTTCTGCAATACTGTCGAAGCAACTTCTGCACGCGAACAAGATGCAAGACGAAGCCACATGCTTGTGCCCAGTGCTTGTGCCCAGTGTACTTCACGAGTTCATTTTGGCGTTGCCACTCCACGCGTCCATGCACTCGCTGCACCTTGAGAGTCAAGTGTGCACCACAAAGCACTCCTGTCATGCAGCACTCAGGAGAGGAACGAGAGCAGACAACTGGGGTTTTTCGGCCATAAGAGACGGGAGAACCTAGAAAAAAAAAAGCATGTCCCAAGGGCAACAAAATTGGACGAGAGCTGTGCTGTTCATTCTGTGAAGCAAGCAATCGACAACCTGTGCTTCATTTGCAAGTTTTTAGTCATTTTGTTGCCAGACAGACGTTGAATTACATAAGCGGATAAAGATAGGTTCAGAACAAACGTCGGCTACCGCGAGATCTGTCGCAATCCGTGCGGGGGTGAAAAGTTGGGACGTTAGTTGACAAACCTCGCCCGCCCCCCTTGTCCATCACCTGACCACATTCTGCGAATGTGGCTATAAGCGAGGGAGCGTGATCATGTGGCAAAAGATTCTCAAGTGCGACTGGCCCAAGGAGCACATAGTTTCCACAGCACTGTCAGTTTAGGGGTGCACGGAGGATATTTGTGCGTAGTACTGTAGAAGCCACAGGCCGGAGTGGGGGGGGATTGGCAAATTTTGTCCGAATGTTGAGCGAAGAGCATCAAGGGGCTAATTTTCCAAGGGAAGAATGGTGATGTGCGGGTACAAAAATAAGGGTCCAAGCACTGTGAGCAAGAGGGGAGTTCTTTCTTTTCCTCCTCTTGAACTGCTAGCCGTATACTACCTTTAGGTCTACCCACTAGTCATTCCAACCAGAGCACTGTGTTCTGACGTCCACACACATTCTCGTCTCCCCCTCTCCCTCAGTGCTTTGGTGCATACTCAAATGCTCTGCATCATTAGCAGATTTTTTTTTTTTTAAAGGAGGGGGAGTTGTTTCTTTTTCAGGTTAACTTTTTCTTAATGAAAAATCAACATACCCCAGCTTTTCTTAGGAAGAAATTATTAGTTTTTGGTGACATAACAAATACTAGGTCAACAAAACACATCTGGCCTGCATTTTGCCCGTGAAATAAGTATCTCCTTGCAAACTCCCCCTTCTCCCCTCTCCACCCCACCCAGCCTGACCTATACACCGACACGCGGGCTTGACGTCACGGAGCTGCGGCGGCGCTGCGATCGCGCCGGAGCCGGGGGGTGTGGGCAAAAGCGCGCACGTTTCGCATGGGCGTCATAGCATTTCAGCATGCCGCAAAGCTGTGTTGCCGTTAACTGCACCGAAATGTACAAGAAAAGCAGCGGAGTGAGTTTTCACAAGTTCCCGGCAGACTCTGAAACGCATAGAAGGTGGATAATATCTGTGGATCGAAAAGAATGGTCGCCTCGCGCGAACGACCGTTTGTGCGGCAAACACTTTCTTGGAGGCAAGTGCGGCTTCCATTTCAATCTCTGTCCCGAGGCTTGCATATGTGCAGGGAAACCGTTGTCTGATCGAGACCACCCGGATTTTGTTTCCACGGTGTTCGCGCACAACGCACCGGGGCACCCCCCAAGCGCTCGTCGGAGGCTCGCTGCGCCCGGGCTACCGAACAGAAGGGGATCGACGACAGAACGGCAGTGTTGTAGGCGTTACCAAAAAAAAAGTAACGAAATACGTTACTCGTTACTTGCAAATAAAAGGTACGCGTTACTGAGCTACGTTATCTAAAAATAAAAGGACGCGTTGCCGCTACCGATAAAAAGTAAGGCACGTTACTTCTGCGTTACTTTTCTAAATTATGATGTAGCACATTTTACGGT